CGGTGCTGGTGCCGCTGTGCTCGGTGCGCGGCCGCCCCGCGCTGCTCTTCACGCTCCGCTCCCGCCGCCTCGCCGGCCCCCACAGCGGCGACGTCAGGTACCGGCGGGGGGAGCGGGCACCGGGGCCGGGCCGGCCCTGACCCCCCCGATCCCTCCCGCAGCTTCCCCGGTGGGCGGCGGGACCCGGCGGACGGGGACGCGGTGGCCACGGCTCTGCGGGAGACGCGGGAGGAGCTGGGGGTGGCGGTGGCAGCCACCAGCGTCTGGGGACAGCTTCGGACGCTGCCCGACCGGGTACCGGGGATCGGCGGGGCTTGGAGGCGCGGGAACAAGAACAAAAGGGCAGGCGGCAGGGCAGGGACACGGGGTGGGTTCAAGGTGACAGGGAAGGCGGCAGGGTCACTGGTGACGGGTTCGAGGTACAGGGACAAGGGTTCTGGCGTGATGGCTTTGGGGTGGCAGGGGCACGGGTGACAGGGGTTTTGGTGACAGGGACACAGAGAAGGAAGGGGTTCAGTTGACAGAGACAAAGCAGTAGGGACACAGGTGACAGAGGAGGGGCTCTGGGTGACAGGGTGCAGGTGGCTGGGGTCCAGGGGGACAGGAACACAGGTGAAGGGGGGTCGCAGGCAGCAGAGGATTGGAATGACAGGGAAAAGGCAGCAGGGTCATGGGTGACAGGGACAAAGCAACAGGGTCACGTGTGGCAGACTCGGGGGGACACGGGTGACGGGTGTTACAGGTGACGGCGATTCTGGGTGACAGGGACAGGTCAGCAGGGATACGGGTGACAAGATTTCTGGGGATTGAAGGTGACAGGACACAAGGGAGTGGCACTGGTGAGGGGGTGACACACAAGGGTGGGTGCCTGCACTGGGTGCAGGGGGGTCAGGCACGGGCACTTTGGGGAGGGGGTGTCACCCTGTCCCTTGCTGACACACCTTCCAGCATGGAATGACCGTGGCGCCCGTCGTGGCCAACCTGGGGCCGCTGGAGGCCTTGACTCTGAACCCCAACCCCGATGAGGTGAGTGACTCCTCCCCAGGCCTGCTCCCCTTCCCGCGGCAGCCGCTCCGGTCACTGCGGTCTGTGCTGACAGGTGGAGGAGGTGTTCACGCTGCCCCTGGCTCACCTGCTCCGCGAGGAGAACCAGGGCTACACCCACTTCCGCACGGCCAGCGGCTACGGATACACCTTGCCCGTGTTCCTCAACGGCCCCCACAAGGTGTGGGGGCTCACAGCCATCATCACCGAGCTGACTCTGGAGCTGCTGGTGCCTGGCCGCTACCGCAGGAAGACCCACGTGCCTGCCCGGAAAGGCCCGGCCTGAGCGGGGAGGGCAGGGGGGGCTGTGGGGTTCTCGTGCCTCGGTTCTCCACCGTGCACGGGGGAAACGGCTCCGGGCCCTGCAGTGATGTCGCACACTGTGATTCAGTAAAAGCCATGTTTGGAACTGCCCTGGGCTCTGACTTGTGGAGTGTGGCCAAGACAGCTGTCCCTTGGCACGGGCACTGGAGGAGGAGTCCTGGTGCCACTGCGGCGGGGACGGGGAGTGTGGGGTCCCCAAGGAGCGACCGTCGGTTAGTGCCCTACAGCCATCGCCTCATAGAAATCCAGGATCTCCCCTCTGGGGTATCCAGGCCCCAGCTGTGTGACACCATGATCCCTGGGGATCTCCTGCTCCAGGGGCAGCAGGACCCAGAGGCCCTCTGCCCCGTCAGTCCCTTCCTACCATTTAATGTCCACAGCAGAGCCTGGGAGCACAGCAGCATTTATTGAGAACCCTCTGAGTGCTGCCAGCACCCCAGAACCCCCTTCCAAGCAGGAGAAGGGAGGTGTGGTGGTGAATCCTTATCCTGACGCCGCTCGGGCTTTGGCCTCGTTGAAGCGCCGCATCCTCTCCTCCAGCTCGGGGCGGAAGTGGCGGATGAGGCCCTGCACGGAGCGGGAGAATTGTTAATGGCGTGGGGGAAGGCTGCTGGCCCCTCCGAGCCCTCCGGACCCTCACCTGCACGGGCCAGGCCGCGCCGTCGCCCAGGGCGCAGATGGTGTGTCCCTCGATCTGCTTGCTGATCTCCCAGAGCGCGTCGATCTCGGCGGCCTGCGCGTCGCCCCGCACGAACCGCGCCATCACCTTGTTCATCCAGTCCACGCCTGCGGGAATCGGGGTGGGGATGGGTCCCTGCAGTGCCCCGCCCGCAGCCCCTCAGCCACGGCCCCCACTCACCCTCCCGGCACGGGGTGCACTGCCCACAGCTCTCGTGCTTGTAGAACTCGATCAGGCGCGCGATGGCTTTGACGATGTCGGTCTGGGAAGAGAGGGAGGGTGAGGAAGGTGAGGGTCCCCCCGCGGCTGGGGGCATCGGGGGGCCCATCCCTTACCGATTTATCCATGACGATGACGGCGGCCGTGCCCAGCCCGCTCTGCGCCTGCACCAGGGAATCGAAGTCCATCAGCACCGTCTCACACACAGACTTGGGCAGCAGCGGCGTGGAGGAGCCGCCGGGGATGACGGCCAGCAGGTTGTCCCAGCCCCCGCGGACACCTCCTGCAAAGAGGAGGGTCAGCACAGGCAGCTCCAGCCCCGCTCCGGCCCGGCTCGGCCGCGGCACTCACCGGCGTGTTTCTCGATGAGCTCCTTCAGCGGCACCGACATCTCCTCCTCCACCGTGCAGGGCGTGTTGACGTGCCCCGAGATGTTGAAGAGCTTGGTGCCGGAATTCCGCTCCCGGCCGAAGCTGGCGAACCAGGCGCCGCCGCGCCGGCAGATCGTGGGGGCCACCGACACCGTCTCCACGTTGGCCACCGTGGTGGGGCAGCCGAACACACCTGGGGAAACATTAGGAAAAAATTCCTCCCCGTGAGGGTGGTGATGCCCTGGCACAAGCGGCCCAAAGATGCTGTGGCTGCCGCATCCCTGGCAGCGTCCAAGCCCAGGTTCAATAGGGCTTGGATCAACATGGGATCATGCAGCCCATGGAAGTGGGGTGGAATGAGACAGTCTTTCCAGCTCCCTTCCAACACCATCCTATCAAACAGTGTGAGCTCTTAATGGACGTGGTGTTGGCTGTGGTGTTGTCCCTGCAACAGGACGGTGTCCTGGGGACAACTTTTTAGGGGTGGCAGCTGGGAGCTCAGGACGGAGCTGTGGGGCCGTACCCACGTCGGCGGGGAAGGGGGGCTTGAGGCGGGGCTTCCCCTGCTTGCCCTCGATGGACTCGATGAGCGCCGTCTCCTCCCCGCAGATGTAGGCGCCGGCGCCGCGCACCACGAACACGTCAAAGGCGTATCCCGACCCGCAAGCGTCGCCGCCCAGCAGCCCGGCCTCGTAGGCCTCACGGATGGCCACCTGCAGGGGGCAGGGGGTGAGGCCGGGAGCGCCCCGGGGGCCGTGTGGGGCCGTGGGGCGCTCCCGCACCTGCAGGTTGGAGGCCTCGTTGTAGAACTCCCCGCGGATGTAGATGTAGGCGGCGCGGGCGCCCATGGCCCGCCCGGCCACCAGGCAGCCCTCCAGCAGCTTGTGCGGGTCGTGCCGCATGATCTCCCGGTCCTTGCAGGTGCCCGGCTCGCCCTCGTCCGCGTTCACCACCAGGTACTTGGGTCTGCGGGCAGCTCACGTCAGGGGCTCCCCGGGCCGGGGGAGCTCCCGGGGCTGCGCGGCCCCGCTCTCACCTCCCGTCCGGGGGTTTGTTCATGAAGCTCCACTTGAGCCCGGTGGGGAACCCGGCGCCGCCGCGGCCCCGCAGCCCCGAGGTCTTGATCTCGCCGAGGATCCAGTCCACGCCCTTGAGCAGGATCTCCTTCGTCTTGTACCAGTCGCCGCGGCGCAGCGCGCCCTGCAGCCTGCGGGCACCGGGCACGGTGGCACCGGGCACGGGGCACCGAGCACGGGGCACCGAGCACTGGGCACCGAGCACCGGGCACGGGGCAGCGGCGCTCCCCGCGCTGCTCCCGCTACTCACCGCCAGTCGTGCCGCCCGTAGAGGTTGGTGAAGATCCGGTCCTCATCCCGCAGCGACCCGAACTGCGTCTTCTTGGGCGCCGTCTGCGGGGACACACGGGTTCAGCACCGGCAACACCGGGACCGGGACAGCATGGTCCCGGCGCTCCCCGCGCCGTCCCTGCTCACCGAGAAGGAGGCGGCGGGCAGGCGCCGCAGCGCCAGCAGCTGCCTGCCGGCCATGGCGGGGGCACCGGCACCGGGACCGACCACCGTCACCTTCAGCCGCCCCCGCGGTGACGTCAGGGGGAGCGCCGGCGGCGCGCCAGTGACGTCACTAGAGAGGCCGGACCAGGGCCGCTTGGGGCGGGGCCGCATGGAGGGGGCGGGGCCAGACCGGGGGGCGCGTTCACGAGGCGGGCTCGTGGCGCTGAGGGGGCGTGGTCTCGCTGGCGGCGCGCCGGCACGTGCCCCGCGCCCGGGCCCGGGTCGGGTTTCGGAGCTGAAACCGGAGCCCCCCGCCCGGCCCCGGGGGGTCGCTGCGCTCCACCCGATCTCCTGCGCTCCGCAGCGCGTCCCGGGGACCGCGGTGGCCTCGTCCCTGCGAGGGACGAGCGCAGGTTCGGGGCGATCTGGTTTCCTCCTGCTTGGCTCCGGGCGTGGGGAGCAGGAGCAGGAGCAGGAGCGGGCGGAATGTTCTTCCTCTTCCGCGGGCCGCAGCGGCGCGGCAGCGGCAGCCCCGCGCCCCCCACCAGCCGGGGCACCCCCCGGCGCCACGGCCCCGGGCGGAGGGGTGCCCGCGGCTCCCGCCCGGCCCCTCGGCTCAGGGGTCCCGGCACCGCCGGCACCGCGGGGAGCCAGGGCAGATTAAACCGTAGCGGTGCGTCCCCCACGGAGCCTCAGCGGGCTGCCGAGGGGCCGGGGCCCCGGCCGTCCCCCGCTTTTGGGCAGGTAACCGGCGGCGGGGACAGGGCCGGGGCACGGTGGGTACCGGGGATCCTGCGTGCCCTCGCAGGGAGGCTGCGGGACCGGGGAACAGCTGGGCGGCTGCCCACATCTGGAGCAGGGCGGGCGAGCGGGGAATAATCCGGAGGATTATGCACGCGGGCGCGGCACCCACCCCCCCGCGCCTGCCCTGCATATCCCCAGATATTCCATAAAAACCTCAAATCCCCGGTGGCAGCCCCGCGGTCTGCGCCAGCCAGCCCCCCCCCGGGGCCAGGCATGTCCTGCGGAGCGGGGGCAGCCCCCAGCCATGGGCAACTGCACCAAGACCCCTGAGCGGCGGCTCCCCAAGGTGCGGCAGGACACCCCGCGGGGCAGGAGCGGGAGGAGGAGGAGGAGGAGGAGGGGGGCGTCCCTGCTTGGCCCCCCCTCGCCGCTGACGCCTGCTCCACCCGCAGGATGGGAAGCCACGCTCGGGCGCTCCAGGCTCCGGCGCAGGGGACCCTGAGGACGTGCTGGACGCGGCGCAGACCCCCCCGATGCAGGGATACTCGGTGCTGCAGGGGCTGGTGGGGCCGGCCTGCATCTTCCTGCGGCAGAGCATCGCCATCACCCAGCGGGTACGCGACCGTCCCCTCCCCGTGTGCTGCCTGTGCTCCCGGGGGGCTTAGGGCACAACCCCTGCGGGATTCCCGGGAGTAGGACCCCTCCTTCGTCTCTTCCCGTTCTCTCTTCCCCAGGACCGGGAGCTGCGGCCCGAGGAGATCGAAGGTGAGGCGCTGGGGAGGGGGTCCCGCTCGGGTGGGTGGCGGTGCCGGGGCGCTGGTGGTGACGCTGTGGTGTCCCCAGAGCTGAAGCAGGCGTTCCGGGAGTTCGACAAGGACCACGACGGATACATCAGCTACAAGGACCTGGGCGAGTGCATGCGGACCATGGGCTACATGCCCACAGAGATGGAGCTGATCGAGCTGTCCCAGCAGATCAGTACGTGGCGGGGCAGCGGGTGCCCATCCATCCCTGTCCCTGCCCCGCTGACACCCCTCTCCTGCCGCAGCCGGGGGCAAGGTGGATTTTGATGATTTCGTGGAGCTGATGGGCCCCAAGATGCTGGCGGAGACCGCGGATATGATTGGGATCAAGGAGCTGCGTGACGCCTTCCGTGAGGTACGGGGACGGCGGGGACAGACGGGTTGGCTGCCAGCGTGCCAGGGGTGGCCGGTGGCAACGGGACCTTGTCTGTAGTTTGACACCAATGGGGACGGACAGATCAGCATGGCGGAGCTGCGGGAGGCCATGCGCAAGCTCCTGGGGCAGCAGCTCAACTACCGGGAGGTGGATGAGATCCTCAAGGACGTGGATCTCAATGGCGATGGCCTGGTGGACTTCGAAGGTAGGAGCAGGGAAGGGGCCAGGAGCGCCCGCAGGGACATCTGGGACGTTGCAGGTGTGTGTTTCCCCCCCGGCAGAGTTTGTGCGGATGATGTCGCGCTGAGGGCGTGCGTGCCAACGCGGGACCCAATTCCCCCGTGCCTTACGGAGACGAGGAGGCCACGGGGGGACCCCCGGCTGCGGGGGCTGGGGCGGCGCCGGCGCAGCGGTGCCGGTGCCTGGGCGAGGCTGGGTGCCGGGGCTGCTCCGATGCTGAGGTCTGACCGTGGTGGGAGGCACCGGGGCCGAAGTCGGGACCCTTTTCTGCACAGGCTCGGCCGAGCTTCGACTGCTCTCGCCCTCATCTCTGCTCTCTCCCGGCATCGTCCCCCTTCCCACCCTAGAAGTCACGCCATCGTGGTCCCCTCTCCTTCGGCTGCTCCCCATCCCTGCTGCTCATCCCCCCAGCCTCCCTTCCTGCTCTGTGTGCCGCACTGAGCCCCTCAGGCTCCCCCACACCAGGTTTAATGCGGACTGCACAGCAAAACCCGACCTGTCACCATGGTTTGAGCTCAGACCCACCGCAGACCTGCCTGGGGTGAGGCATCCCTGCCCTTTCGGGGCTGGCACAGACCCTCAGGGATGTTCTGGCAGCCCCCAGCACAGGGGGGACTCCTGGCAGCCCAGCCAGGAGACCCTCCAGGAGAGAAATAAAGCATTCCTGGGTGGAAGGGCCTCAGCCAGCTGCAGGCAGGGCTGCTGTAGGTGCCCTCCCTGTCCTGGCTGCAGTTTTGGGGCCGATTTTGCCCTTTTGAAATGATAAAACTCTCTCCACAGACTTTTGGTTTGTGTTTTATGTTGTTTCCAAAGAGTTTATTTGTGATCGTGCTATCCACTGGTATCCCCCAAAACCCTGGACTTGAGTCTCACGGGAATCTCGCAGGGAGCCGGGGCCGCGGGCACAGGGCTCCGGGGAATGCACGGCCGGCGGGTGGGGCCGGTTCCCCACAGTCCGGGCCGAGGTCCGCCCCCGCAGAGTCGGGGCGCCCTGACCGGCGGCGGCTGCGGGCTGTGGGATCCCTTGGCGTTGGGGGGAGCGCGGCGGTGCCGCTCCCGGTGCCGCTCCCGGTGCCGCTCCCGGTGCCGCTCCCGGTGCCCCGAGGCGGTGGCGCCGGTCGATCACGTGACCCCCGAGGGGACCCGCCGGGCGAAGGGGCGTGGCCTACGCAGAAGTCACGTGGTGGGAGAGGCACCGAGGACGAGGCGGTGGCACCGGTCGGTCACGTGACCCCCGAGAGACCCCCCCCCGCCGGGAGAAGGGGCGTGGCCTACGCAGAAGTCACGTGGTGGGAGAGGCACCGAGGGGGCGGGGCCGACGCCGCGTGTCTCCACGGTGACCGGCCGGCGGGCGCGCGGCGGCGTGATGACGTCGCGCTCGTGACGCGCCTGCGTCATCACCGCGAGCGCCGGCGGCGGAGGGGGGAGAGACCCGGGTCAGGCCGGGGCCGCGCAGCGCTACCGGGAACCGGGGCCGCCGCGCTCCGCTCCGGTTCCCGGCTTCCCGCCGGGCCGAGCGGGGCCGAGCTGAGCTGAAGAGAGGCGGGCACCGGCGATACAACCGGCGGGGCGAGCGCGGGGGCCGCACGCCGACCCCCGCCGCGGGGCTCCAGGGATCCGGGAGCGGCGGGCGGCCGTCGGGGATGTCCTACAAGCCCATCGCTCCCGCCCCCGCTACCCCCGGAGCCGCCAGCGCCAGCCCCGCCCCGCCGGGGCCCGGGGCACCGTCCGCCGGTGAGAGAACGCCGCGGTAACCGCGGGGGACGGGGGGCACCGGGAGCGGAGAGGGACCGGCGGGGAGGAGGGGGGTACCCCGGGAAGGGGTGGTACCGGCTGAGGGAGGTACCGAGGAAGAGGGAGTGCGGCCGTGACCCTCAGTTTCTCGCAGCCACGAGTGTCCCGTCGCCCTCCGGTTCCGTCCCTGGCGCCGCCGCCCCTTTCCGGCCGCTCTTCAATGACTTCGGGCCGCCGTCCATGGGCTACGTGCAGGTGAGGCGCGGCGCCGGGGCCGGTGGGGCCGGGCGCGGCGGCGGGGGCGGCTCCCAGCCGCTCCGTCCCTGCTCGTCCCCCTGTTCCCGCAGGCCATGAAGCCCCCCGGGGCGCAGGGCTCGCAGAGCACCTACACCGACCTGCTCTCGGTCATCGAGGAGATGGGGAAGGAGATCCGGCCCACCTACGCCGGCAGCAAGAGCGCCATGGAGAGGCTGAAGCGGGGTAGGGGCAGGGTGGGGAAGCGGGCGGCCGCGGGGCTGCGCCCCCGAGGCTCCTCAGCCCCGCGGGGAGCCGCTGGAGGGGTGATTCCAGGTGTCCCTGTGCTTCTCCCCGCAGGGATCATCCACGCCCGGGCGCTGGTCAGGGAGTGCCTGGCAGAGACAGAGCGAAACGCCCGCACGTAACGGCAGCTGCCAGCCGGGACCCCCCGGGAGCTCCCGGTGGTGGCGGCGGGGGCGGGGGGGCCGCCGTGCTGCCCGAGCCCCCCCTCCCCGCGCTCTCCGCTCTTTATAAATGCGTGTTTTTATAAATAAAGGACAATGTTGGGACTTGGCCTCGGTGTGTCCCCGCGGGGGTGGGTCCCGATGGGGATGGTGGGACGCGGGGTAGAGGTGCGGCCGTAGGGAGAGGGATTGGAGCCGCGCTGGGTGGTGTCCCGGAGCTGAGAGTGCAGGAGTGATCGAACCACTCGCTGATCACTTAAAAACGTGGCTTTTTAAATAAAACACCGGGTTTTTCCGGGGGCGGCGGCGCCGGTACACGCGGAGCGCCCGTGAGTGGCGCTCGCTGCCTTCCGCTCTCTGACGTCACGGGGCCCCCCCTCACCTCCCTACGTCACGGCTGTCGCCGTGGGAACGGGCTGTGATGTCACGATCCGAGGGGCCGGTGCGGAGCGGCGCAGGTTTGGTGGGGCCGGGGGGCGGCGGGGACCGGGCGGGCGGGCGGGGGGAGTGGAGGGCCCGCGTTGCCATGGCAACGGAGCCGAGCCGAGTGGGGCCGAGCCGGGCCGAACCCGGGGCCGAGAGGGGCCGAGCGGTACCGGACTGAGCCGAACGTTGAACTGAGCCGGGCCGAACCTGGGGCCGAGGGTGGCCGAGCGGTACCAGACTGAACCGAACCGGGAGCCGAGCGGTACCGAACTCTGCCGAACCCGGGGCCGAGCTTTTCCGAGCCGGGCCGAGCCGGGCCGAGCGGTACCGGACTCAGCCGAGTGTGGTGCCGAGCCGGGTCGAACCCGGGGCCGAGCGTTGCCGAGCGGTACCGGACTGAACCGAACCCGGAGAAGGAGGGGCTCCGAGACGGGCGGAACCCGTACCGGGCTGAGCTGAGTGTGCCCCGAGCGGTTCTAAAGGGGTGCCGAACCGGCCCGAGCTGTCCCGGAGCCGGCCCGGTGCGGTGTAACGGAAACCCCCTCAGGAGCTGCCCCCGCTGTGCCCCGCCGCCGCCATGCTGATCAAGGAGTACCACATCCTGCTGCCCATGAGCCTGGAGGAGTACCAGGTGGCCCAGCTGTACATGATCCAGGTGGGAATGCGGGGCTGAGCGTGAGTGCCTGGGGGAGCCGCGGGGCCGAGCGGGGCGGGCTGGGGTTGCAGGGGGCTGCGGGATGAGCCTGGCGGCTGCGCGGGTATGGGGTTTGTGGGGCTGAGCCTGAGGGGTCTGGGGTCCAAGGGCCGAGCCTGAGGGGGTGCACAGGGCTGTGGGGCTGGGCATGGGGAGCTGGGGGGTGCAGGGATCTGGGGACTGTGACTGAGGGGGTGCAGGGATCTGGGGACTGCGACTGAGGGGGTGCAGGGATCTGGGGACTGTGACTGGAGGGGGGTGCAGGGGGTGCAGGGATCTGGGGACTGTGACTGAGGGGGTGCAGGGGGCTGAGAGAGGCAGGAGATTGTAGCCTGAGGGGTGTAGTGGGCTGTGAGGAGACATGAAGGGTGCAGGGGCTGAGCCTGGGGGTGCACGGGGGGCACAGGCTGAGCATGGGGTGCTGGAGGGTGTGAGGGGGCTGTGGGGCTGAGTGTGGGGAGCTGTAGGGCTGAGCATGGAGCCTGGAGGGGCACGGCGGGGGGCTGAGGCTGATCCCAAGGGATCACCCTTGTAGGTTGCAGGGGTTTCACTGAGGCTTCAGGTGGGTTTGGGACCACCGAGCCGAGCAGGGGGTCCTGCGAGCAGGTGTGGGGCCGGTGGGTGCCGGCACATGGGGGCAGGAGTGTACACGGACCCGGGCGCCCCTGGGGGTGGGGTCTTGGGGCTTGGAGGGGCCGCACTGAGCCATCGTCTCCGTGCAGAAGAAGAGCCGGGAGGAGTCGAGTGGCGAGGGCAGTGGTGTGGAGATCCTGGCCAACCGACCCTACAGCGATGGCCCTGGGGGCAGCGGCCAGTACACCCACAAGATCTACCACGTTGGCTCCCACATCCCCAGCTGGTTCCGGGCGCTGCTCCCCAAGGCTGCGCTCCAGGTGGAGGAGGAGTCCTGGAATGCTTATCCCTACACACGCACCAGGTGGGAGCTGGGAGGCGGCGGGGTGGGCTGCAGGACTGGCCATGCCCCTGGGCTCAGTCCTGTGCCTCTCCAGGTACACATGTCCCTTCGTGGAGAAGTTTTCCATTGAGATCGAGACTTACTACCGCCCGGATGCAGGGCAGCAGACCAACATCTTCAACCTGAGCGCGGCGGAGAAGAGGCAGAGGATTTTGGGTGGGTATGGCTGGCTTGGGGAGCTGGGCAGGGCACTGTGGCTGCTGAGATTCCCACATAATGCTTCTGGGATGGGTGTGTGCTTGTGACAGGGCCTTAGGGGCTCAACTTCACTCTTCTTGCTGGTCCTAATGTTTCAGGGGTGCTGGAAGGGAAGAGCTCTCTGCTCCGAGCTCCCTGCCCGCTCCCTCTCAGTGCTGCTGACTTAAGTTCCACATTAAAGATATTTTCAGGGACATTTTTGTCCTCTGCCTCTTCCCTTGCCTCTATTTCTGTTTGCAGCTTCTCCTTTCTAGTGCCAGCCTGCTCCCCTCTCCTTCCGTGTCCCAACCTTGTTCTGGCATGGATTTGCTTTCTTAGTCTCTCTTGGCGTACATGCGACCCCACACCTGGGTCCTGTGGGGTATTTTGGATCAGCTGGAGCAGGGAGAGCTGGAAAAGCATGTCCCCATTTTCCTACTCCCTGCCCTGCTTCCCCTCTCCCCAGGGCTTTGCTCCAGATCACTCTCTGGCTCCATTCTGCTGGGACCGGTGGGCAGAACTGGGAGCTTGGGGTGGGATTCTTCCCTCTCCACTGACTTCCCGTTCTTGGTGGTGTGGACATGGTCAGTTCAGGCGCCAGAGAGTGGAATGTGACGTGCTGCCTCTTAAAATGGAGGCCCAAAATAGGCACTCGGAGGAAATGATTCATCTGACCTATTTCTCTCCCCGGCTCTTGCGGCACTGGGGATGTCCGGCCGGGACACCAACGGCTGGGACCTGGGGGCAGGAATTCTGCCCCTACTGCCCCCGGGAAGCCACCAGGGCCAAGCAGACGGCATCAGGGCATGGCCCTGTGCCCACTGCCTGGTTTTCCACTCTCTGTGCCCATCTGGTGGGCATTCCACAGGGCACTCAGCATCTCCAGTGGCTGCTGCCTTCCACAGGGAGAAGGGTTGAAGTGGGACCAGCCCCAGTGTGGATCCCTCTGGGATTTCTCTGCCCTGGTGTCTTGTAGCACTGACAGATTTAAACCCCTCTCATGTTTCAAAGGGCGATGGAAAAACATGGTCTGGGTGATCCGCAGGGATAACTGCTTCCTTGGCAGCTTCCTCCCAGTGGCAAAAGCAAAGGGAGTTGGATTGTGATGGGAATGACACTGCCAGGAGCTGCTTGGGGACAGCAGGTCCTATCCCAGCTCTTTGCTGCTGTTATCCAAGATGCTTGGCATCATGCTGCGCATTGCATAATTTTTGTGGATTCAGGGCATCTCTATTTTTCTTTTCCCCCTTTTTTCAGCCCGAGCTAGAGGAAGAGAGGCTGGCAGCACCTTGGGGACATCAAGGGGTGGGTTTGGCACACATGAATGGGTTTGGCACAGCCTGGAAATGGGGACAGTGCTGTGGGACGGTACTGGGAGTGCCCTGTGATCCCCCAAACCATGACCTGGAGACCGGGCTGGGAAAGCCAAATTCTAGCAGATTTTGTGCTGGATTGAGCCTGAATGGCTGTTGGATGGTGTTTTCCTGAGTGTCGTTCAGGAGCCTTTCTCGGGTCTTGGAATGTCATCCTCATTTGAGGGGAACTCACTGTCATTTTGGGAAAGGTCACTTTTTTGGGGGGATGGGGCTCATTGCCCTCTCCCCCCCCCCCCCCCCCCCGGCTCTCTGGAGGCTCCTGTGTCACATAGTAATTTTGCTGTGCCCTGTTTTTGGGGGACCCTCGGGCTTTTTGCGGTGGGAAGCCGGGAGCTGTGCCAAGCTGCCCCATGTGCTTTCCCCGTCCTCAGCCCCCATGTACCCCAGGGTGGCTGGGGTCACTCTGCAGCTGCCAGGTCTGCCAGCTAATGCACGTGGGTGTGTCAGCTGCGGCTCTCCCCAGCTCCCAGACCCTCCCTCCCTGTGCTGCTCCCTGGAATGCTGGATTGGGGTCCCACATGGGGACAGAGATGTCTTTGGCTGCACCAAGGGTGTCTGTGATGTCCTAGCCGTGGGATTTTATATGTTCTATTAGGAAATTCTTCCCTATGAGGATGGTGAGGCCCTGACATAGGTTGCCCAGAAAAACTGCAGATGCTCCATCCCTGGAAGTGTCCAAGGCCAGGTTGGATGGGGCTTGGAGCAACCTGGGATAGTGGAAGGTGTCCCTGCCAATGGCAGAGGGTGGAATGCGATGATCCATAAGGTCCCTTCCAACCAAAGCCATTCCAGGTTTCTATGATTCCAGAACTCCAAGATTTTAGAATTCTCAGACAGAGAGTGTTTGCTGCCAGCTGTGTTGGGTGCATGGCTCATATGAATAATTTGACCTTATTTTTGTCCCGTTTTCCTTATTTTCCTACCTGTGCCCTCTTGCCAAGCGCTGTGTGGTGACAAGCGCTGTTCTCCCCACAGACACCATTGACATTGTGCGTGATCCCATCTCCCCCGGGGAATACAAGCCCGAGGAGGATCCCAAACTCTACCACTCATCCAAGACGGGCCGGGGGCCGCTGGGGGATGACTGGCTGGAGGCAGCAGCAGCCAGCGGGCCCCTCATGTGCGCCTACAAGCTCTGCAAGGTGGAGTTCCGATACTGGGGGATGCAGTCCAAGATCGAGCAGTTCATCCATGACGTGGGTGAGTTCGGACCCGTGGGTTGCCGGAGGGTCATTTGGGCAGCCGTGGGATCACGCTGGACTCGCTTCCTCCCTTCTCCCCCTAGGTCTGAGGAAGGTGATGCTACGCGCCCACCGCCAAGCCTGGTGCTGGCAGGATGAGTGGACGGACCTGACGATGGAGGACATCCGGCAGCTGGAGGAGGAGACGGCGCGAATGCTGGCACAGAAGATGGCCAAGTGTGGCGAGGGCGAGGAGCCACCCCTGGCTGGGGCCAGCCCTGAGGGGCAGCCGGAGCCAGATGGTCCTGGCGGTCAGGAGGAGGCTGAGCTGCAGGCAGGGACCGATACCCCCTCGGATGATGCATTTGCCAAGCAATGGTCCACTTCTTCCCGGTCTTCCTACTCTTCCCAGCATGGAGGTGAGACCAGGTCCGGTGTGGTTTTGTCCTGGATGCTGCGGCTCTCCACAGGAGATGTGTCAGGGGACTGTTTTGCCTGGCTTGGTTCTCCTGGGCTGGGGCTCTGGGTGTCCCAGGTCTGGTCCCAGTTGTCTTGAAGGGGCCCTAGATGACCTGAATGGTTCTGGATCTCCTGGAGGGACTCTGGGTGACCCAGGGGTGGCCCCAGATCTCCCTGGACATGTGGGTCCATGCCCAAGGGGAGCTGTGGGGCAGGAGAGGGGGTCTCTGTGCAGGGGGCTGTGAGTGCTGACCCCCTATGGGTGGTAGGGGGCGTGTCTCCTCAGAGCCTGTCGGAGTGGCGGATGCAGAACATTGCCCGGGACTCAGAGAACAGCTCCGAAGAGGAATTTTTCGATGCCCACGGTACTGGCACCATCTTGGAATAGGCTGGGTGGGGGCAGGGGCATTTGAGGATGGGTGTGCAGGCACAGGAGTGTCCCCCCACCCACGCTTCGCTCCTGCCTCTGCAGAGGATCTGTCTGACAGCGATGAAGTCTTCGCCAAGGAGATGACCAAGTGGAGCTCCAATGACTTCTTGGACACGCTTGAGCGGCCAGTTGAGCTGGATGAGGCACTGGGTGAGCTCTGGAGGTGCTCTGGCCCCAAATCCTGGGGTGGAAGTCCTGGGAGGGGCCTGATTCCCACCTGGGGAACCCAGCTGCCTCACCAGGGCTGTGTGCTCGCAGGGGACGGAGCCAGTGTCACCAAGGGGGATGGTGAAGGATTGGGAACATCCAGCTTCCCTGAGGTGCGTGTCCCCTCCCTCGGGCCATGCCCTCCTGCCGTGTCCCCCAGCTTGACTGCTCTCCTTCCTGCAGGGCGGCACAGCAGAGAGCACGGAGCAGATGTGTCGGATCCACGCGCTCTTCCTCATCCTCCACAGTGGGAACATCCTGGATCAGGGAGCGGGCGAGCCGGGCTCCAAGCAGGCGGATGTGCAGACGCTGGCGGCCACCTTTGATGCTGTCACCCGCGTCCACTTTCCCGAGGCACTGGGACATGTGGCCCTGCGCCTGGTGCCCTGCCCGCCCATCTGTGCTGCAGCCTACGCCCTTGTCTCCAAGTATGGATTCCCGCTGGGAAAGCAGGGGACTGGGGAGATGGTATCCTTGGAGAGGGGACTTCAATTCTGGTGGGACATTAAGGACTGGGGAGGAGATGTGAGTTAACTCCTGGTGCAGTGTCTTGGGGCAAACAAGTGTTCTGTGGTGAGATGGAATGGGGTACATATAATTCCTGTTGTGGTATTCCAGGCCATGCAGGTGTTCTGGTGTGGGATGAGGACAGTAGGGCAGGATAGGATGGGGTTAACTCCTTGTGCAGCATCCTGGGTTGAGCAAGCATTGTGCAGAGAGGCAGCATGGAATGGCGTGGATTGGATGGGATAGGGTAACTCTGGATACAGCATCCCGGGTGAGCAAGTGTCTTGTGGTGGGAGGGAACAGGATGAGGATTACTCCTGGTGTGGCATCCCGGGGTGAACCAGTACCATGCAGGTAGATGAGGATGTCAGAACAGTCACGTTCATCCCTCGCCGTGTCTCCTCAGGCTCAGCCCTTACAGCCATGACAGGGACAGCCTGTCCAGCAGCCAGGACCACATCCCACTGGCAGCGCTCCCACTGCTGGCCACCTCCTCAGGCACCTATCAGCAGGCCGTGGGCACCGTCATCATCCGTGCCAACCAGGCCTACTCAGCCTTCCTGCACTCCGGAGAGGGGACTGGCTTCTGTGGCCAGGTGAGGTGGAATTTGGGGGGAAGCTTGTCTCTGGGGTCCAGCTGTGACCCTGCATGGAGGGTTTAGGGATTTCAGCCTCCTCGTGGATCTGTGGTCTCCCCAGGTGGTGCTGCTGGGGGACTGTGTGGGCGGCATCCTGGGATTTGATGCCCTGTGCCAGAGCCGGGCGGGCTCAGGGGGCAGCCGGAGCAGCAGCCGCCGTGGCAGTCTGGTGAGTGCCTTGCATTCCAACACCCCCTGGGGAGGGTTTGGGGGTTCACTGGAGGCTACATGGGATCTGGGTGTTTGCTGCCTCTCCCTGCAGAGCACAGAGCCCATCTCCCCAGAACAGTGCGGCGGCCTGGACCCGCTGGCTGATGGAACAGAGGGAGCGCCAGTATTGGGCCAGGCCAGCCCTGAGCCCCCAGGGACACAGGGGGACAGCCAGCAGCACAGCTCCACGAGCAGGTGAGCCCAAGGGGGATGGTTTGCTATATTGTGCTTTATGGGAAGGGTGCAATTCCCATCTGCTCCAGGCTGGGAAGGAGCATTTCATGGAGGCTACCTGCCTTGGGGGGATCTTGCTGGAGCTCCTCTGGGATAACAGGGCCACACCAGGCACAGCTTTGCCTTCAGGATGGTGGGAATACGATGTTGCCATCCCTCCCCATGCCCACTGTCTCTGCTGTCCCAGCCTGCAGGCCAGCGAGGCCCCGCTGGAGGCCGAGGCAGTCCGGAGCAGTGCCATGGCACTGGATGGGGCAGAGGGTGCCAGCACCCGCCTCGAATTTAAGGTGTCCGGCTTCTTCCTCTTCGGTTCCCCACTGGGGCTGGTGCTCGCGCTGCGCAAGACCGTCATGCCTGCTCTGGATGGTGAGGATCCCCGCCTGCCACGGTGCCAGCCCCTGACCCTCCCTGCAGGGCTCAAGTCCCTGAATCATGCTCACCTGACAAGCCTGAGCTCCCCAGGACCGCCCCAGAGAGCCCTGCTTGGGTTTGAGCCCCTCGCATGCCTAGCCCTGGCTGTGTGGGTGTTGGTGGGTGGCTGAGTGTTCCTGCTCTGTGCCAGCCTCAGCCTATCACTGGTGCCCCAAATTTCCCTGTCCAGCCTTTCCTTTTGCTGTGTCCTGCTTTACTCCTCCTGGGTGTTTTGCTCCTGGTGCACCCCTGACCTTGCTCTGTGCTGCAGTGGCCCAGCTGCGTCCTGCCTGTGAGCAGATCTACAACCTCTTCCACGCCGCCGATCCCTGTGCCTCCCGCCTGGAGCCCCTCCTGGCCAAGGCCTTCCATGCTGTGCCCCCGCTCAGCGTGCCCCGATACCAGAAGTACCCCCTGGGTGATGGCACCTCGTCCCTGTTGGGTGAGCAGGTTCCTGCCGGGCTGGTGCCAGGCAACCTGGGGCCACGTCAGGGTACCAAGAGCACCCCGATCCTGGCTGGGTGTGGGTAGAGGGATGTGCAAGCCCTTCCCACCGCTCTGGGGCTCTGCTGGAGGGGTGTCTTGGGGTGGTGGGTGTTCCCAGGGGCTCTGGGTGTGCTCACCAAGTTCTCTCTTCAGCGGAGGCCCTGCAGACACACTCTGCCCTATTCCTGCCCAAAGTGGATGTGGCTGCTCCCCCTACCCCCACTGGCAGCTTTGGGGGCTTCTGGAAGGGCAATGAGCCGGCAGAGCCCCCCACTCCTGCCAGCACCAGCGAGGTTGTCAAGAGTGAGTGTCATCCCCACCCACCCCATCCCATGTGGGCACCTTAGGCTGCACAACAGGGGATGAGATCTGGAAGAGGCTTCATTCCAGCTCTCCCTGCAGTCCTGGAGCGCTGGTGGGGCCCGAAACGCATTGACTACTCTCTGTACTGCCCCGACGCCCTGACTGCCTTCCCCACCATCACCCTGCCCCACCTCTTCCACGCCAGCTACTGGGAATCCTCCGACGTGGTGGCCTTCATCCTGCGCCAGGTATGGTGGGCCCAGTGGGGTGGGTGGCAGCCTGGGGCCGGCGGGAGCTGAGCTGGTCCCGTGCTGTTGGCAGGTGATGGAGAAAGAGGGGCCACAGCCTGCGGAGAGCGAGGAGAGCTCCATCTACAGCCCCGCCATCCCGCGGGAGAAGTGGCAGCGCAAGCGCACCCAAGTGAAGATCCGGGTATGTGGCCAGTGGGAGGCCACCTGGGGCATCCTGGGGTGTGTGGGTTCTGGGACAATCCCACAGCCCAGTGGTGTCCCAGTGGCACCTCAGGAGCTCCCCCAGGAGCTGCTGAATACCCCATGTGCCTGCAGAACGTGACGGCCAACCACCGTGCCTGCGATGTCATCGTGTGTGAGGGCAAAGCGCAGGTCCTCAGCGGGCGCTTCATGTACGGACCCCTGGATGTGGTGACACTGACTGGGGAGAAGGTATTGCTGGGCTCAGGGGACCACCAGGACCCCTCAAACAGGGTGGGGTGTCCAGGACCGGGCATGGGGCTGGTGTCACCCACAGTAGGGGGAAGGATGTGGTTAACAGGACCCTGTATGGGATGGCAGGAGAAGGTTGTAAGGACCTGTGTGGGGATGCAGCAGGATGTGGGGGTCCAGCCTGTGACTGGCCTGTTTTCCTCTCTCAGGTGGACATCTACATCATGACACAGCCACTGTCAGGGAAGTGGCTGTACTATGGCACCGAGGTGACGAGTGGCAGCGGGCGCGTGACCTTCACCATCCCTCCAGACAAGGCTCTGGCCATCGGGATCTACCCTGTGCGCATGGTGGTCAGGTGAGGTGTTGCCTCAGTTTCTCCTCCAGCCCTTTTGGCAGAGCTACACCTGCTGTTCTGGCAGCAGAGCTGGTGCTGAGCCACCACCTACGTCTGCCTTTGCAGAGGGGACCACAGCTACGCCGAGGCGTACCTGACCGTGGTGGCCCGTGGCACCGAGTCCGTCGTGTTCAGCATCGACGGCTCCTTCACTGCCAGCGTCTCCATCATGGGCAGTGACCCCAAAGTGCGGGCGGGGGCTGTGGATGTTGTAAGGTGGGTGCCCTTCAGTCAGGGACTCGGTCTCACCATCTTTCATGGAGTGACAGCTCAGTTGGGGGGTGTCAGAGTGGGGACAAGGCGGGAGGGTATTCCATCACTTCCTTGCCTCCAGCACATCATCTCTATGCTGGTGCCCTGTTGTGGAAAATAATCCTCTCCAAGTCTGGATGTGGTCCCCAGAGCTCTGCTGTGCCTTCTCCTCGATAAAATCCCTGGGAGCAGGGAGGTTTTGGAGGCAGCACCCACACATGCTGTATTGGGAGATCCCAGCTTCCCATAGCAGGACTGTCTCCACACAGGCTCCTGGCAGCCATCCATATCCCCTCCTAGGCACTGGCAGGACTCGGGGTACATGATCATCTACGTGACGGGGCGCCCCGACATGCAGAAGCACCGTGTGGTGGCCTGGCTCTCCCAGCACAACTTCCCCCACGGCGCCGTCTCCTTCTGCGACGGGCTCACCCACGACCCCCTGCGCCAGAAAGCTGCCTTCCTGCAGAGCCTGCGCACCGAGGTGGGCATGGGGATGCTGCCAGGACACAGGGCTGGTGCTGGGTGTGGGCTGTGCTGAATCCTGTGCACCTCTGCATCCTGGAGATGCTGGGAGCTGGATTGCATTGCCATGGCAGAGCGGGAAGCTTCTCAGGGCAGCTCCCAGCCATCCCTCTTAACATGAGGGTGTCCAAGCTCTTGGGGGTAGCTGTCCCTGTGGGAAGGGTTGTTCCTTGCCCTTAATGCTCTTGTCCCTGGGCAGGCAGAGATCTCCATAGTTGCTGGCTACGGCTCCACCAAGGATGTCTCGGTCTACAGCTCACTGGGACTCGCGCCAGCACACATCTACATTGTGGGACGGGCCGTCAAGAAGTTCCACAACCAGTGCCAGGTATGCTGGTGGCAGGGTTGGGGACAGACGGGGGATGCAGGGGATGATGGCTGACCCCACCAGCTGGCTGTGGCCACTGGCTCAGGCTGTCTGTGTGTCCTGCAGTTCCTCTCTGAGGGTTATGTTGCCCACCTGGCCCAGTTGGAAGCCGCAGCCCTGGCTCACTCCCCCAAGGGCCCCCCACGACCTGTGCTGGGCAAAGGCACCTATGGCTGCCCGGCGCCTGTCGACTTCCTGCGGAAGCAGAGCCAGCTCCTGCGCTCCCGGGGCTCCAGCCAGGCAGAGCGGGATGGGGGGCCCCCCTCGGCACCCCCTGGCTTTTCCCGGACCAAGCCACGCAGCATCAGCCTCAAGCTGGAGGGTGAGGAGTGAGGGTGGCATGGCCATGTCCCCCTTCTGCCACATCCCTGATTTCCCAGCAAGGAGCACCTGGGGACAGAGCTAGTGCTGGGCCATGAGGCCATTGCAAGGAGATGAGGGTGCTGGGTCCCCTGAGACCAGGGGGTGCTGGGAGAAGGCTCAGAGCCCCCAGAGGACCAGAGTGATACCCTCCGGGCAGAACCACCCTGGGTCCTCCCTGCTGCCCCCAGCCCCATCCCCTCTGGTCCTTTGGGGCCGTTGGGCAGTGCCCAGTGGGGTCTGCACCCCAGGGTCATTATCCCTGTGCAGAACTGGGGGCTGTGGCTGTACCCCAGAGTGAGTGGCACCTCCCCACCTATTTATTTCCATCCGGTGTCATGGCGCAGGGCTGGGTTGGGGTTCCAGAGTGGTTCCTCTGTTCCCTTTTGTTTTGGTGTTGAATAAAGAGATGTTATGACAAGGATCCAGCACCCATGAGTCTGCTCTGTGCCTGTGGCCGCAGGGTTCCCACCCACTGGGAAAGCCCCGGGGAGCCTCCAGGGACACCACGTCCCACAGGGAGATGGCTGTGGGGCACACCAGTTGGGTCACAAGCAATTCAGGACAGGGAAAAGAGCCTGGGGTGTGTGGGCTGTGCTGGTGCTGATACTCTCCCCCCTCTCCAACTTGGTTTCCCCTCATTTTACCTCTAGCAGTAAATTTTTGTAGTGACCAGGGGGTGTGACTGGTTTTACTTGAGTTTATCTTGGCGTAGCATGATCAGAGATTTATAGAGATAGCAGGAACAAGCTGTTACTCTATATAAAATATTCCCGACACTGACATGACAAGAGGAGACACTGGTTTGGGATGATAGCAGCAGCCTGGATAAGTGACAACGGTGTGGCACGGAGAACAGGCATGAACGGGTTGGAGCTGGGGCCGAGGCTCAGTGCCGCCCCTCCGTGGCCACCATAAAGTATAAAAACATCAAATAAGTGATAAAAGTTGGCAGGAAGCAGCAGGCTCTTGTCACCCGTGCGTCCCTGGCGTGACGATGAGCCCCGGCTGCGTCCCCAGGCCGTGGCGAGCTCCGGGGCCATTTCCACTGACTTCAAATAAGTAAAATCTGTATTAAACATTAATAAACATCCATGACCATTCCACATGTGGAATATCTAAAAGAACCTGTCCCGAGAGCACTGGGCTCTCCCTTGCAGCCACGGACTCTACTGGGAGAAGATGCCCTTGAAGCGGATCTTGTCTTCGGCGTCCTTCTCCCGCAGCCGCGCTTCCAGGCTCCGCAGCTCCTTGGAGACCACGGGGCGCAGCGAGGGGTCGAGCGCCAGGACTTTGGCGAAGTCAGCCTGCGCCTCGGCCACGTTCCACACGGCCGCGTGGGCCTTGCCCCGCTTGAAGTAGGCCTTGACGTTGTCTGTGGGGAGAGAGGCAGGGTGAGCGGAGCACGGGGGTGTCCTGGTGCCCTGCACAGCCACCCGGGATGGCTCGTGGCTCCTTACCCTCGTACTTGTTGAGGATGGAGGAGCAGTGGTCCAGCACCTCGTAGTACTCCTCACACTGCAGCTTGCACTGGCAGTAGTTTAAGAGCAGGGGTGTGATCTTCTGGTCGAGCTCGATCCAGTCTGGAGAGCCTGGCTGCTCCTGTGGCAGACAGAGCAGGGAGAGTGAGGGACAGCTCTCAAGCCCTGCATTCCTGAGGATGCCTGTGTGGATCTGGGGAGACCCACCTTCATCTGCAGGTTCTTGAGACAGGCGATGGCATCGTAGTATTTGGCGGCTGCCTCAGACACCTTGCCCTGCCGGTACAGCTCATTGCCTTCCTTGTGGATCTGGGGCACAGCCTGGAGCTTCTCCTCATCTGTCATGGCCCATGGGTCCTGCTGGTAGGAGCCGGGTGGCTCCACCTGCCAGCACCCCATCATGGAATCAGAGAACAGGATCATGGAATCGTTTAGGTTGGAGAAGACCTCTAGAGTCATGGAGTCCTGCACTGCCAGGGCCACTACTAAACCACATCCCACATGCCACATCTGTGTGTTTTCTGGACACTTCCACCCCGAGCTCCCCATGCCGGCACCTCACCTTCAGCACCTCGATGTCAAAGATGAGGGGCTGGGGGTTCTTCTGGAGCTCGTCGAGGTCGGGGTACCCCAGGGAGTAGTGCTCGTGCATCTGGGCGATGCTGCAGCAGTGCCGCTGCCCCTCCAGCGGGTCCTTCCCTGCTGCGATGTTCCGCAGGCTCTTGGACACTAGCGGGTAAAGCACCACGTGCTGCGGGAGGGAAGGGAGCCGGAATTTGAGGAGGGCGGGGGGAAAATTTTAGGACGCTCTAGCCTCGAACCCCGCGCCCACGACATAAAGCCACCGCCCACCCGCACAGGCCACGCCCCCGGACACCAGACCACGCCCCCGGCGGGTCCCGGTCCCGCCCACCTTGGCGTCGCAGCGGAAGCGCGCGCGCTCGCCGGGCCGCATGGTTCGCAGCGCCGCTTCCCACACCGGCAGCTTGAACTTTTTCCCGGCGATGAGCTCCATGGGCTTTCCCCGCGCCCTGCTGTCGTCCACCGGCGTCTCCTCATCGCCGCACCGCAGCGTCCGGTAGTGGAAAGTGGCCTGAAGGAGCAGGAGGAGCCCGCGGCGTCACCATGGCGACGCAAGCGGGGGAGGGGGGGGGGTGGGGAGGACGCGCATGCGCGCCTGCCCCGCCGCGTTCCGCTTCCCACATCCCCCCACCCCGCCCGTTCCCCCGCAGACCTGACCTTGGTGCCGTCGCGGAAGTCTGGCAGCGGCCCGGTGCCCTCCCGCAGCACCTCCTTGTCCACGCCGTCCGCCCGCAGCTGCTCGACTTGCTGCGCCATCGCGCCCGCTCCGCCAGCCCTGGCTCGGCCGCCTCCGCCGCCGCTCGGTTCTTTCCTGATAGTCGCGGCTGCGCGGGGCTCCCCCTGCTGGCCCGGGGGTGGCGCTGCGGGGCGGGGGCCCCGGGAATGGGGCGTGGTCATCTGCGAGGGGGCGTGGCCAGCAGAGGCAGCAGCGCGCCCCGTTCCCACGTGGTTCTCCTGCTTTCCCGTCTCCCCCCACCCACCCTCCTGGGGTGTCATTCCAGGAGACACGGGGGGTGTTCCGGAATGAAACCTCCTCTGACACTTTGCCACCTACGTGGAAAGGCCGCGGTGTAGAATGGGAGGTTGATAGTGTCGCCGAGAGCCACTCTGCGGGTTCCCGCGCACCGCGGGGAGGGCGCAGCCGGGTCCCTCCTCCCGCCAGCGCCGGCAGGGTCTCCGTGCGGGCAGGAAGGACAGGCAGCTGCAGCAGGGCTGTGCGAAACCCTTGGGGGACACCTCAGGGCTTACCAGGTTTTAGCGCAGCTCACGAGACACCCTGGGGTGACACGAGGACACTGGCAGGTGGCAGGTGCCCAGTCCCACAGAAGGACTGGAGACTCCTGGAGGTGACTGCACTGCTGCAGGGGTGACCCCTGTTCTGCTGGCACTGTCACTGCTCGGCACCGCTGGGCACGGCTCAGGCCCATCGCCGCCCTCACACATAGCCGAGAACTCAAGAGGGCTCCTGCTCCCCCCTCTTGCACCCCTTGTTTTTCGGTGGTGCTCGATACAAGATTAGCCAGGTGGGTCCCCACAGACGCAGGTGGGCTCCGTGCCCCCCCCGATTGTGGTTTCACCGCGGGCCACGGCTGGCGCGGAGCCGCGGCGTTGCCGGCGGCAGCGCAGGTGCCGGGAGGCGCGTGCGGTCGCTGGCGAGGCCGGGAGCCCCGGGCGGTGACCGCCTCCTTCCTGCGCTGGCGGCGAGGCGAGCGCGGGGCCACGGCTGCGGCAGCAGCGCCATGTGCCAGCGCCGCGGCGAGGGACCGGGCAGCTGGCGGCCCCGCCGAGAGCCGGGGGCTGCTGCCGCCCGCCGCGGGGGCTCCGAGCAGCCGGGAGGGGAGCACTCCGAGGGAGGGGGCTTTGGGCTTTGCAGGTGCCCGACCACGAGGTGGGCCCGCGTTCGCTCTTGCTGGGATGTGGGCTGCAGCCCGTGATGCCCATCTCGGCAGGCTGCAGCAGCGGCGCCGGAGGCCCGGGGGATGCAGGAGGGGCCCCCGCCAGGGCAGGTGCTGTGGGGGGGCTGTCTCCCCCCGGGCGCATCCGGGTGCCGGCCCCCTGTGGCGAGGTGTGTGACGGCAGAAGCGCAGGCGAGGCTCATATTTGGGCACGGAGCAGGTTATTGGAGGCCGCGGCCCCGCCGCCGGGAGATGAGGCGCCTGATAAAGGCTGCTGCCCCGGTGCTGCTGCGCGCAGGGGCTCGGGCGCTGGCGAGAGGTGGCCCGGCTGCGCGGGCTCGGGGCCGGTGGCCATGGGGCCGCTGCTGGCGCTGGGGCTGCTCGTGTGCGTGCGGCTGTGTGCGGGTGAGGGTCGGGGGGGCGGGAGGGGGGCCCGGGCGGCGGCGGGCCCGGCTCAGCAGCCTCCGTGCCGCAGGCTCCGGGCAGCTGCGCCTGGTGGGCGGCGGCGGGCGCTGTGCCGGCCGCGTGGAGGTGAAGCACGGCGGGGAGTGGGGCTCCGTGTGCGTCTTCGACTTCGACTGGGAAGCTCGCTGGGCCGCGGTGGTGTGCCGGCAGCTGGGCTGCGGCCGGGTGGCCAGGGCGTCCCTGCACGCCCCGTTCGGGCGGGGCAGCGGGCGGATCTGGCTGCAGCCCTTCTGCAACGGCACCGAGGAAGAGCTGGAGCAGTGTCCGCACGTCGGATGGGGACGGCATCTCTGCGGCCACGAGCGGGATGTGGGGGTGACCTGCACAGGTGAGGGGACACGCTGGCCGTGCTGGGACAGCCACCTCGTGCTGGAGCATCCCGGGCCGGTCTGAGCCATGCCGGTGCCCTGTGCAGATGCCGTGGAGCTGAGGCTGGCGGGCGGCGGCAGTCCCTGTGCCGGGAGGGTGGAGGTGAAGCTGCAGGGACACTGGGGCTCGGTGGCAGACGACAACTGGGACATGGAGGACGCCGAGGTGGTTTGCCAGCAGCTGGGCTGTGGCTCGGCTTCGCGGGCCTACTCCATCCTCAAGCCCTTTGGCGCAGGGGACGGGCTGGTCAGCCTGGCCCTGGTGGACTGCAGTGGAGACGAGGCCACGCTCTGGGACTGCAAGATCCGTGGCTGGGGACCCTATAACAGCAGCTTCCATCACAGGGAGGCTGCCCTTGTCTGCCAAGGTAGGAGCTGGGCTGGAGGGGATTGAGGCTGTTCATGCACATCCCTTGACACCGGCCCTGCACTGCTCCCACAGGCTTTTCCCAGCTGGTGGGTGGCGATGGAGCCTGTGCCGGGTGGCTGGAGGTGCATCAGGGCCGGGCCTGGGTCGGTGTCTGTGAGGATCAAGTGGACATGAAGGTGGCCCAGGTGGTGTGCAGGGAGCTGGGCTGCGGTGAGGTGATCGCCATCCCCGGCAGTGGCCGTTTTGGGGCAGCGTCGGGATCGCTCTGGGACGGGGGCTTCCAGTGCAATGGCACCGAGCCCCTCCTCAGTGCCTGTGCCCGGGGTCCGCCCCACGGCCAGGCCTGCAGCGGCCCTGGCGGCGTCATCTGCTCCTGTAAGTGCCGGGGACACCGGGGGCTGTTGGGGTCCCTGCGCCATCAGCGCTCTCACCGCCGCTCCCGTCGCAGCCTACACGGGCTTCCGCCTGGGGAACGGCAGCTCGGGATGCTCCGGGCGAGTGGAGGTGGCAGTGAGGGGCACGTGGGGCTCCGTGTGCGCCAGCGAGTGGGACCTGCCCGATGCGCACGTCCTGTGCCGCCAGCTGGGCTGCGGCCGCGCCTTCAGCGTGCCCCCGGGAGGCTCCTTCGGCAGCGGGGAGGGGCCGCTGCGGCCGGACGCCTTCGGCTGCAGCGGGAGCGAGCGGCACCCGGGCGAGTGCCCCGTGGCCGTGCTGGGCAAGCCCCCCTGTGCCCCCGGAAACGCCGCTGCCGTCGTCTGCTCAGGTGGGTACAGCGCCTGTGTGAGGAGCCCTAAGGGCTTTTGGGAACTTGCCAGAAGTGGAAAAAGTAGGAGATGAGGCAGGCTCACTTTTTATTGAAGGGCTTAGTTGGGCCATTTTACAGGTACTGTGGAGTCCCCGCGGCTGGTGGAGGGTGAGACCCGGTGCGAGGGGTTTCTGGAGTCGTCCACAAGTACTGGGCACTGGCGCCGTGTGCCCGGAGAGGTTTTGTTCCTACGGAATTTGAGCAATGTGTGCTGGAAGCTGGGCTGTGGAGGACTGGAGAAGAGTGGTGCTGTACTTGGTAATGTGTCCATGTGGGACCTCAACGAAGCACAGTGGGCCATCATGAAAGAAGTGATTGAAACCATCAAGGGGATGACAACTGATCTGACCAATAGGACCATACCTGAGGAATATTTTTGGAGTATTTACCGGGGCATGAAGACTGCACCAGCTGGCATCTCTCATGGGTTGGATATTGTCTGTTCAGGTGGGTGTCCCGGGAAGGACCGGTGAAGTGCCGGTGCCCCAAGCAGCCAGCGCAGCCTATTCCTTCCGTGCCCACAGGCAGCCTGCAGGTGAGGCTGGTGGGGAGCTCTGGGCGCTGTGCCGGGCGTGTGGAGGTCTATTCCGGTGGCAGCTGGAGCTCGGTCTGCCAGGAAGGCTGGGAGCTGCGGGACGCGGCCGTTGTGTGCCGGGAGCTGGGCTGTGGCACGGCACTGGAAGTGCCGAGCTGGGCGCGGTTCGGTGCCGGCACGGGGCCGCTGTGGCCGTACGTGCCCGACTGCTCCGGCTCCGAGGAGTCTCTCTGGGAATGCGGGCGCACGGAACGGCGCGAGTGCGGGCGCGGCGGCGGGGCGGGGGCCGTCTGCTCAGGTCAGTGCCGAGCAGCCCCGGGTCAGGGCCCGGCAGAGGCCCCGGGGGGTTCCTGGCCGTGCCGTGACCCCCCTGTCCCCCTTGCAGAGCAGCTCTCCGTGCGGCTGGCAGGAGGCCCTGGGAACTGCCGGGGGTTCCTGGAGCTGTTCTACAACGGCACCTGGGGCCGCGTGTGCGCCAGCGGCACCAGCCCCGGCACCGCCGCCGCCGTCTGCCGCCAGCTGGGCTGTGGGCACCGGGGCCGGCTCTCAGATGTCCCCGCCCTGGAGCCGACCGACGCCTGGCTGGCCTGGCTGGGCTGTGAGGACGGGGCCCGCTCGCTCTGGGGCTGCCCCTCGGCACCCTGGCTCTTGCAGAGCTGTGGCACCGGCGGGCACGCCCATGTGGAGTGTGAGGGTGGCGGTGATGGCAGCACTGAGGGACACACCAGCCCATATCCGGAGGGTGCCAGCAGCACAGGTAGCTGTGCCCGTGCCTGCATCCCCCCAGCAGGCTGGCTGGGATCCCCCTGCCCTCACTGCCTGCCCGTGTCCCCACAGGTGTCCCCAGGAGAAGGGCCCCGGCGGTGGCCCTGGGGACTGTGCCTGTGCCCACGGTGCTGTGCGTGGTGCTGGGGACGCTGCTGTGCCTGGCCCTGGGTGCCCTGGCCCTGCTGCTGTGCCGTGCCCGTGCCCGGCGCCGAGGTGGGTCCCGCTGTGTGGGGCTGGGGACAGATCCGGTTTGGGGCTCCAGGAGCCCCTGCCCTGCGGAACAGCTCAGAAGGTGGCATGGGGTGATCCCGGTGCCACCCACAGTGCCCAGGGCCCCAGGTAAGTGCTGCAGCTCCTTCCAGGCCCTGGCCGAGCTGCAGATGCCGTCTCCAACGCTGTCTACGAGGAGCTGGATTACAAAGCCATGCCCGAGTACCAGGAGGTGCCCACTGCCCCAGGTGGGTGCAGCCCTTGTGCCCCAGCTGTGCCCGGAGTGAAGGCTCTGCCTGGCAGCCCCAGGGCAGCTGCGGCTCCTGGTGGCCCAGCAGCGGCTCCTGGCCATGGGCTCTGGGTGTCCCTCGCTCCCAGAGCAGCCCTGCTCTGTAGTGTGAGGTTCTGTCACCGGCGGTGCCACTCGAGGCCACCCCCAAGTCCCTGTTTATGCCCTGCAGGTTCCCTGTTGGAGGGATGGGTGAAGAAGCTGCCGTATTCGAGCGGGGACAGCGTGGAGGGGAGTGACACCGAGGCAGCCCCAGGTAGGGCCACAGGGCAGGAACCCAGCAGGGAGAGCTGGGGACAGGGGACACACCCGGCCTGGGGAGGGCTGAGGGGACAAATCCCCCCTTGTTAGTGTGCAGGGAAACATCGCCTTTCCCTGTGGGACCCAAGGGCCTCCAGCACGTGCCCAGGGGAAAAGCTGGAGGGGATGGCACAGGCTGAGGCCTGCCAGGGCTACTGGTCACTGCCATGGAGCCCTCTGCTCTTCCCAGATCCCCCTGCCTGGCGTGAGCAAGGAACCCCGGATGGCTACGACGATGTCCTGGATGTGCCCCAGGAGCCGCCCGCTGCCAGCAGTGGGGACATCAGCGAGGGAGCGGCACGGCAGAGCTGGGTCTGTTTCCTCCCCACAGGTGAGAGGGCTCCCAGCTGCCCTGTCCCCTCTGCAGAGTCTCTCCATGGCAGGCTTTGGCTGTGGGGGCAGGCAGGGCCCCAGCAGCAGATCCATGGGTGCTGTGGTCAGAGCCCAGGTGGGGTCTGTCAGAGGGACACGGAGCTGCCTGCCCCCTCTGGCCCCTTTCTGTGCTGTCCCCAATTTGGGATCTACGACCCTCCAAATCCCCCAGCAGCCACCGGGGACCCCTCGGAACAGCTCCCTGAACACATGGACTATGATGATGTCGGCAGCAGTGCCCTGGGGACGTTGCCATGAGGATGTCCTGGCCATGTTGCAGTGCTGGGGACACGTGTGTGGCAGTGTGGTGGGGCCCTGTCCCCAGGGAGGGCTGGCTCTGCCCACAGAGGGCAGCCCTGGCTGTCCAGCGCTGCAGGAAAACAGCTCCTGTGTAGGGATTTTCTGTGGTTTCAGTGTGAATTTCCCTTTTTTCCTATTAAAACCTAATCTGGTCAGAGACTCACTCCCAGGCCTGCAACCTCATTCTTTGGCTGGCACTTCCATGCCAGGTACACCAGCCCTTCCTTGGAGATGTGAGGCAGGAACTGGAACAACAGCCACATCCCTGGGATTGGTGGGCTGAAGAGGGAAGAGCCCAGGAGACTTCTGGCATTGCGAGGTCTTTATTTATCACTGCCACATGCCCACAGCTGTAACAGCCATATCCAGGAGATTTCTGGCATTGCGAGGTCTTTATTTATCACTGCCACATGCCCACAGCTGCTGCCAGCAACAGCGAGGGGAAAAGGGAGAGCTCAGGACCCGGATCCCCCCCCGGCAGATACAGCAGGATCTCCCTGTGCCCTGTGGGTAGGGCAGGCTCAGCCCCACTCAGAGCTGGGCAGGGAATGGCTCTGGTTGTTGGAAGCATCCTTTTCCTAAAGGATGGGAGGTCTCCTGAAGGAGGGCAGCGCCTTCCTGCCCCCCAGCTCCATGTGCTCCTCAGCTGAGCAGGCTCAGCCCCACTCAGAGCTGGTCTGGGAATGGCTCTGGATGTTGGAAGGGCTTTTCCTAAAGGATGGGAGGTCTTCTGAAGGAGGGCAGCGCCTTCCTGCCCCCCAGCAGCACCCCGCGCTGGCAGGGCAGCCGGGCCATGGCCCCTGCCTGTGGCACCTCGTGCTCCAGGAGGTTCCCGATGTTCAGGGCGGGCTGCAGGGCCCGGAGGGCGTCCAGCTCCTGCAGCAGGGCCCGGCTGAAGCCGTCCGTGCTCAGCCTGGCCGTGGAGGGGGCAGGAGAAGAGGAGAAGGTGTTGGAGCTCATGGGGAGGGAGGCGCCGAGGCGGCCGCGGTGCCGCTGCGGCCCTGCCTGTCCCGCGGCCTCCGCTGCCCGGCTCGGGAATGCCGGGCACGGAAGGGGCCGTGGCAGGGCCCCGACTCACCCCAGGCTCCTCAGCGGGCAGGCGGCATGCCGGAGCTGCTGGCAGAGCTGCAGGACGGCCTGGGCTCGCAGCTCGTTGTCACTCAGGTCCAGGCAGGTGAGCCGGGGCCCCTGCAGCAGCCGCGCAGCCAGGGCTGTGCAGGAGGCGCCCGACAGCCGGCAGCTGCCCAGCCTGTGGGAGCGAGGGAAACAGGGAAGGAGGGCTCTGGCCTCTGCCGGCTGAGCTGCTCCAGCAGAAAGGAAAGGAGAAAGCTCTATATAAAAAGGAGGGAGCTCTTGCCCATCCTGCAGCCCCTTTACCGCAGCGTCTGTAGCGGGCAGGCACAGTGCTGCAGCCCCTCACACAGCAGCTCCACGCCGGCATCTCGCAGGTCCTCGCTGAAGGACAAATCTAGCTCCTCCAGGTAGGTGTTGGTGCCCAGCACAGAGGCAAGGTCCTCGCAGCTGGCACTGGTGATGCGGGAATACCGCAGCCTGATGGGAAACCCCAGCAAAATCCTCAGAGCCTCCTGAGTGCCCTTACTGCCATCCCACCACGGTGGCGGTCCCCACCCTGGTGCCATAACCTTGGCCCTCCTTGGCCTGGAAGTGTGGGACAGAGGTATGATGCCGTCCCGGGGGGACCCTTTGGAGTGTCTCCCGAGCTCTCAGGTCTGAGATGCCTTAGGGATTCTGGGGGTGCTCACCGCAGGATGCGCAGGCGGCAGCCCGGATTCCGCAGCCCCTCACAGAGGAGGCGCACGCCGCTGTCACCCAGCGAGCTGTCAGCCAGCTCCAGCTGGGCCAGGCCAGGGTGCTCCGCCAGCAGCGCTGCCAGCTCCGCACAGCAGCTCTCGGACAGCCGGCACCACCGCAGCCTGCGGGACAGCATGGAGAACAGGGGCTCAGCACACCTCACCTATCCTGCCTGCCACCTGCCCAGCAAACCCACGGGTATGGAGGGCCTGGCTTCCCTCTGGCTGCTTGCCATTGTCCGCAGGGAGCAGTGGGGCAGGCCCAACCCACTCGCCCACTGCACTGTGGTTGGGGTGTCCCCACCCACACCCCGGCTCCCAGCCCTGGTGTGGGCTCCGCGCGCGTCTCTCACCGGAGCACCTGCAGGGCGCTGTCCCGGTGCCGCAGAGCCCGGCAGAGCAGGTGGATGGGGCAGGGCAGCTCCTCCCGCCGCCGCACGACGAGAGCACCGGGATGTCCTCCGGCTCCCGAGGCTCCAGAGCTGAAGGGAACAGAGCCGTGGGGCACACGCAGCCCTCAGCGGTGCTGGCAGCTCCCGGTTCTGACACCAGCACACAACCCCCCCATCCCGAGCAGAGCCTCCAGCTTCTCTGGAGGGATCTTTGTGGCTTTGGAGGAGTGAAGGACCCCAAACATTGCTGCTGGAGCCACCGGGGGAGATGTAAGGGGAGTCACAGGGTGCATTTAACATTCCAGCACCAGGGATCTCCCTTTTTGAGGGAGAAGGAGGACGATGGGAAGCCAGAGTGACGGCTGGGCACAGGTGGGCCTGGCTAGGTCGACCCAAGAACTCCATCACCATCAATCCCACAGCAGGCAGCGGATCGAGGAGTCCACATGTTCCTTGTTCTCCCCAAGAATAAGTAAATCCTATGCTATGGAACCAAACACCCAGGGAAAGGCCAAACTGGTGTTCAGGAGGGAGAAGCTGAATCATCCTTTGGGACAGAGAAAGAGAAATCTTTGCAGTTTTGGGTCATTAAAGCAAGGAGGAGCAGGACTTACCAAGGCACTAACACATCCAGCTCTGCCTCAGGATCCTGCCAGTGGAAGGAGCATCCCTGGAGGGTGACGGAGCCCAGCCCAGCCCAGTGCTGGATGCAGAAGGAAAGAGCCATCTGGTCATACAGGGTCAGCCTGGTGTCCTGCAGGTCCAGGTCAGTGAAATGACCCAATGCATTTTGTGCAAAGCTCTTCTCGTTCATCTCGAACAAGAAGTGGAAAGTGTCCATCTCCGAAACCTTCAGTGCTTGGCCAGGGTGGGAGAGGCCTCTGTGCCTCCCCTGAAGCCACTCCAGCAGCTCTTCCCTGACTCGTGGTGAAATTCTGCACCCAATGGTTTTGTCCATGTACTCTATGGATTTCTGGCTGACCAGACCAAAGAGGAATCGCACTGTTATGTTCAAATCCTTTCTGGACTTGTTGTAGCTTTCTAATAATTTATTTACATCCTTCTCAAGCTTCCCCAAGCTGATAGTTTCCCCATCATCCTCCAGGACGTAAAACATTGCTGCAAAAAACTCCTGGATGTGCAGGTGGGTGAAAGCATAGACACTCTCATGGTCTTCTCCTTTCCTTGGGATCCTTTCATTGAGGAAGTAGGGGAGAAGACCTGGCTGGTCCAAGCCACAGTCCTTGATTTCCTTCTCCTCAAAGAGGACCTTGTGCTTCCAGATACCCTCGGCAGCCAAGGAGCAAAGCTGGAGTAGGAACTGCTGGAGGACCTGTGGGTTGTCCCTGTCCCTGAGTTTCAGTAACTGGGAGAAGTAGAACATCATCATCCCTGTGGTGGTTTTGGAGCACTCAAGGAGGTTTTTCTTCCCACAAAGCTCTTGTTCAAGGATGGTGCAGATGGTCCAGCTCATGATAGGGATGACACACAAGCTGTAGAGGATCTCGTTGCCTCTGACAAACCTGAAGGCCATGTCTGCTTTGTTGGGGTTCTCAAAATACTTGTGGAAATACTCCTTCCTCCTGGCTGCTGAAAACCCCAGTATCTCCATGTAACTCTCACCCTTCAGGCACTGCCTCAGGCTTCCAAGAGCTGTTGGCCTCATGGTGATGAGCAAAGAGGCTTTGGGGAGCAAAGTCTTCTTCAACAAGCTCATCAGGGTGAGCTCCAGTGGCTTCACCTCCCTGGGGTCAGAGCTCAGCTCAGCTTCGGGCTGAACCAAGGAAAACCCCAGGGCCTCGAAGCCATCAAAAATGAACAGGATCTTCTTCTGGTCATCCAGGATCTTCCCAGCCGGCACTCGCAGGCCAGGACAGCACCGTGAAATCAGGTCTGCCACGCTGGCTTCCATGGGAAGGACGATGGCTTTGCAGTCAATGCAGAAGACAAAGTCAAACTGCGTGTGGAGTGCTCCTTCTCCCCACTCCACCATCATTTTCCTGACCATCGTTGTCTTCCCCATCCCTGGGGCCCCCACCAGCACCACGACCTGCGGGGTTTGCCCATCTCCACTGGGTTCAAACAGCATGGTGGTGGTGGTGGCAGCTGCTCCATTGCTGGTGCTGGTACATCCCTGGCTGGTTCCCACAGCTCCATCCTTGGCTACGTGCTTGCTCCGAGGCTCCCTGGTGATGGTCAGGGTGGTGAAGTGGCTGTGGAAGGACGGGCTCTCCCTGGGACAGGCGCCCAGCTCCCTGTCCTGGTGGGACTCCCGGGTCGTGTGCTCTCTGCTGTCCCACCTGTGCTCTGTGCCGACAGGAGCAGGGTCAGTTCCCAGCCCAGACACATTCCCCACACACCAGCAGCCACTTATTTCAATGCTCAGTGCTCTCCTAAGTCTGGCTGGGGCACTAAGGACACAATTTGTGAGGATTTGGGGACTCTGGTAGGTTGGGCGTTCTTCCAGGTCCTGATCCTGATCTATCAACCCTTGTTTTATCATCCTCATCCACCTGGCAGCAAATGCAACTGCCTGGGGCTACCTGCAGTCTCTGACTCATGCTTCAGGGGACAAAAACACTGCCCCTGGGCTCCAGAGCACAGACCTCAGCAGAAATATCCTTAATCCCCATCCCAGGAGGAAAGAGCCTGCCCAGCTGGCTGCTGGAAAGCGCTGAGAGCACTGGGTGAGCTTTGAGGTCACTTCCAACCCAAACCATTCTGTGATTTTAACCAATGCCTTTATCGAGGGGTTACAAGCCCATGTAATTCACTGCAGGGATGAGCTGCCTGCACAGAGCTGGTGACCCTGTCCCCAGAACAGCTTCAACAAGGAGTGCCCAGGACTGAACTCAGAGCCCAGGCCCATGCCAGGTGGTGGGAGGCCCCAGGTGAGGCTGCTCAGCATTCCAGGCTATTAATAGTACCCCAGGGTGAGCAGGGCTTGGATTTTCACTGCAAGGAACTTCCTGCTGCCAGGGAAACCCACCTTGGCTGCTGCAGCAGGTCATTCCACTGTGAGAAACGTCCTTCATTCTGCTTTCCCGGGAGTCTGAGGTACGGACAAACGGAGCTGCCCAAACAGCCACAGGGTTTTGCTGCTGTGTGGCCTTTCCCCCCCCCTCCAGCCGTGGGGTGGGTTGTAAATGGGGCTCTAGGAAAGGAGAGAGGCTCATTTAGGATCTTTGGATGCTCAGGAATAAAAGGGGTGTGAGCTTGTGCTGTGACCTGCTCTCCTGGTTTGCCTGCTCCAGTTTATGCACAGGGCACCTGTGTCTGGATTAGCAGGGGGTAACCCTCTCGATGATTTTATTTTCTGTGAGTGATGATTTTCTTTCCATGATGGAAAAAAAAACAAACAAACCAAAAAAAACCCAAAAAACCAAAAAGAGGATGATGTGTTTAGCAAAGCAGCCTGTGAGGGATAGTGGGAAAGGGAGAAAGGAAGTTTTTTAAGGCACACTGGGAATTTAAGGACTCCTTGTGGACTCCTTATTTCCCTGCTCAGAGCCAGACATCACACTGCACACTGTCCCTCCTGCTTGCAGGATGTCAAATAATTCTGGGGATAACTGTTTCTCTCCAAAGGAAATGGTCTCAAGTGTGTCAGGGGAGATTTAGGCTGAATACTGGGGAAAATTCCTTCACTGAAAGGGTTGTCCAGTCCTGGCATAGGCTGCCCAGGGCAGAGGTGGAGTCCCCATCCCTGGAGGGATTTAAAGGCTGTGTGGATGTGGCACTTGGGGACAAGGGATAGTGATGGCCTTGGGCAGTGCTGGGGAATGTTTGGTCCTGATAACCTCAGAGGGCTCGAACAATTCCATGATCCTATGCTCCTTCCCCTGGATGCTGCTGCCACCAACATTCCCCTGTGGGTTTTGCAGCGGGAGCTCCCCAGGAGCCAGGGCTGTCCTTATCCCTGCTAACTCCTCCTGGGAGGTGCTGTGAGCTGAGGGGGAGGGGGCAAATCCAGCAGCACCGTTTCTAAAGGATTCCCACTCCTTCTGACCTTGAAAAAGCCATTTTCACCTTGCTGTGTCTCAGCCAGGGCTGCTCTTGCTGTGCCCGCGCTGCGTTAGGGGGGATGTGACTCTGCCACGGGGAGATGGGGGAAGTGCATTGTTTTCACAGCTTTTCCTTCACTTCCCTTTTTCCTACCCCAGTTAAAAAAAAAAAAAAAAAAGTTTACATTCAGAATTTAAATACAACGTAAATTCCGGTCTGAGGGGTGTGAGAGCATCACGTGGGGCTGTTTATCTCCTAAGGCAGAGGCAGAGTGTGTGAACATAAGGAAACCGCTGCTGGAACCCCTCATCCAGGCTCTGGGGACAAGACCCAGGGGTTCCCACTTGCAGGAGGCTCCCTCCCTCCTCCTGCCACCTTGAGGATATTCCTGCTTGATACAGAAGTAGCAAAGAGATTTTGCTAGGGAAGAAGCAGTTTGGGGGTATCACCTGCATTAAACTGTGGATTTCCACCAGCTTTGCAGGAATTCAGCCTGTCTGCTGCTGTCAGTAGATCAGCAGATTTGGGAGGCGTTAGGAAGGGAAAGCAGCTGTTTGGAGCCATGGAAAGGTCCTGGGTGTGCCTGGCACAAGTCTCTGAAAGAGCAGGGAGTGCTGGCGCTGCTGGGGGCAGGACCAGACAGGGAACAGCGGGTACATCAGCATCAGCCACAGCTAATCCTGGCCGTGCCAGCCTGTCTGAGCCGAGCTGGCTCCTGGAGCCACCGACTACAGAAGGAATAACCTTGCTCATCCCTGCCCCGAGGGGGTGTGGGTAGCTGCATCCCAAAGCAGGCCCTGGAAGCACAGCATGTCCTGGGAGATTTAGGTTCTTGCATCCAGCCCCTCATTCTGCAGCTCTCTTCAAACACAGGCAGGATTTGTCTTTGCAGTAGGATTTAATCAACCTGAGTATTTTTTAGACATGACATGCACCTGGCTGGGCACTGGTGGGTCCCAAGTAACTGATGAAGGCAGATGGGCAATTAACACACAACCCGATTTCCTCTGAAATAAGGGCAAAAAGAGCTCCAGACAATCCCAGAACCTGCTGAGGTCTGGGATACAAGCAGGAAGTGACACAGGGATGGGAATTTGAGCCCTGTGCCTGGTTGTAGAGGTGAGGCTGTAACAGAGAGGGCTCTTGGCTTTTAGCTGGTGAGGATGAGGGGGAGGAAGAGGATGAGGATGAGGTGGCTGTGTCTGGCAGTGCCTGGCTGGCTGACAGCGCTCTGCAGTGGGACCGGGCTGTGTGCCCGGCTCTGGTCTGGGAAGGGGTGTCAAACAAGGAGCAGTCTGGGGAGAAGGGAAGCAGAGCTGGCACAGAACTATCCCCAAGGTGCAGCATTCAGTGTCCTCCCTGCACTGTGCAGAGTGTCTCCTTGGCAAGTCAGTTTTACATTCCTTAACTGACTGCCAGGGATCATCTCAGTTGGAAATTCTGGCGGGGAGAGGCTCATACTCCTTTTGCCTGTGGTCTACACAGAGGCATCCCAATTTATCAGGCTGGCCTGCTCCCAGGTATTTTTCCAAGTGTGTCCTCCCCATTTTGTTGCTGTAGTAATTGCTGCAAATCCAGGCAGGATTTGGAGGAGAAACAGACGGAGCAGCAGAGGGGTCAGTGCCGCAGGGACAGCCCTGAACTGCTGAGCCAGCTCAGCCCCAAGTGACAGAGGATGTGGAGATGCAGCTGGGCTGCCTGTACCACCCTGCACCCTCCCTTGGCACCCTGCCCCTCCAGATCCCAGCCCTTCCCTCTGGATTGGAGCGCCCTCTCCCCCCCTCCCTGCTCTCCATCTTCATGCAGTCTGCAGAGGTGCATTGTGGGAAACTCCCAAGTTTCCCCCCCCTCTGCCTGCCTCCCTCCCTCCTCTCTGCGCAAGAGCCAGCTCCCAAGGTGTGACTCGTCCGGCCGGAGGACAGAGGTAAGGGATGCCGCTGGGATGGGGGCGCGGGGTGCAAGGGCCGGGGCTCCCAGCTCCGGGACGTGCGGATGTCCTGCGCAGGGTGACAAGGAGACACGGGGACGTGGAGCCACCTGCCCAAGGTGAGTGAGCACCGGGATGGAGGCCGGGGCTGCCGTGCCCGCTGCCTCCGGAGCCGGCAGCCCACAGCTTCCCCCCCAGGCAAAAAGAGCCTTTTTGAAGAGCCTTTTTGTCCCCAAACAAGGAGCACGGTGAGGACGGCCGGCCCCGGGAGGCTCCCTTCCCGTCCCGGTTCCCACGCTGTGCTCCCTGAAGGTCAGGCAGGCACAGAAGGTGTTGCTGCAAATGCACGGCTGCCTCCTGCCCGCTTCCTGCCCGCAGCTTCCTGCACGTACCTGCAGCCTCCGCGGGCTGTGCCGAGCCGAGCCCTTCGCCTGCTCCGGCCCTGGATGCGGAGAGGCCCTGGATGCGGAGAGGCCCTGGATGCCGCAGCAGCGCTCCCGAGGCCGGAGGGCGCCGGGCACCGGGAAGCGGAGCCGGCCATGTGCCGGAAGCAGGGCTGCTGGGAGGGAGGAGGGCAGGCAGCATCCGCGCTGAGCTCCTCCGGCATCCCGCCTGCCGCACCTCCCCGAAAGGTTTTGAGCGCTTTTCCAGCTGCTTTTCCCCTCCCATCTGCACGGACAGTGGGATTTGTTTGCCTTTTGCTCTGCCTGGATGGGTTTAATGACTCTGTTTAGTTCTGTCAGTGCTGAGGCAGGAGGGAAGCAGGAACAGCCGGCTTGGTTCAGCCTTCACCTTTTCCCGGGAAAGGGGGTTGTTTGTAGGGCAGGGAGAATTTGATATCAATCAGGGGGTGTATTCTTCCCCTTGTATTTGACCCTGGGCTTGCACCGGAGAGGAGCTCACAAAGGGAAATCTGCCCCAAAAAACCCAAAAGGGAAAAAGATGTCATAAGCAGCAGTGCCTGTTTTGAAGGAGAATATTGCACCGAGGGAGTGGGATACCAGACCAGGCCTCCTGAGTCACGGTGGTGCTTCCACGGAGGGAATGCTTTGGGAATATCTCAAGCTCTTCAGTCTGATGTCCCTGCTCTCTGCACATCCATGTGCATCCCTGTGATGTGTGCTGGTAGGGACCTGTTGATTTGATCCTGTTTACTTCTCTGTCCCTCTGGTGGCTTCTGGGGAGGTGCAAAGGGGGAAAGAAGAGGATTTTTAAAATGGAATCGAGGTCAGGCTGGCAGAAATTGGGCATTGGGACAAGAGGAGGAAACCTCCATGCCGCAGCCCCGTTTTCCTGGGTGGGGCTTGGGCAGGATGCCGTCAGGAGAGGGAGGATGGACTATGCCAGATTAAGCTCCCTGCTCCATCTCAGGACTGACCTCCAAAAGTCTGACCTTCACAGGTTTGACCTTCAGTGTTTTCCATCTGTCCTTTCTCAGCCACAGTGCCCAACACCAACATCTAACCCTATGATATTGTAGTCGGGTGGGGAAAGAAATCCCAATTCTCCCCTAAAAGTGCATTTTCATCCCGCTGCATCCGTCCCCTCCCCTGGCAGGCTGCTGGGATGCGGGGCTGGAGAACACCCTGGCACACTGTCCCCATCCTGGATCAGGTGTCAGGGCTGGCAGACGGGGTGGAGGGAGGGATGGAGCTCCCTGAGCAGGGATTTCCACGCTGAAGGAGCTTTGGCCATCCTTCCTCAGATGCTTTCCAGCTTTCTGCTGGGACAGAGAGTGCCTGGTGTTACTGCACAAGGTAAGGGGTGGGTTTTACGCCAGAGAGTGTGGGAGCCTCCCTGGAAGGTCACTGCCTCGTGTGGAATTGGCCTCTTGTCTGCCTGCAGTGGCTTCTTAGATTTCAGCTGCAGAGCAACAGTTTTCAGGCTGATGCCTGCAGATCCCAGGGGCTGCCAGGTTCCAGACCCAGCTCTGCATGTGAGGAATTGCTTCCAGAATCTTTCTGCTGCCCTCAGCTGGGCCACAAAGGGGGTGATGCTGCATCAGGCAGAAGGGATGGATTTAGGATGCCCATCAACTGGGGAGGGATGTTGAATTTGCTGCTGCTTCCTGCAGTGGTTGGGGCTATTTCACTGTGTCACATATATCCCCCATCCTTTTTTGCTTATGGATATTGAATTTGGGATACAAGACTGGGAGGAAGATGCCTTAATAGCAAGATCTGTCAGAAAGGGGATCAGCCTCCTGAAGCTGGGGACTGGCTCATGGCCGCTTGGGGAGCAGCACCCCAATTTGGAAGCATCTGCCTTCTTCCCAAAGGCTTTTCCCAAGTGCTGGCAGGCCCGGGGTAAGGAGCAGGGCTTTGTGGTGGGAGGGAATGAGTGTTCACCATTTTCCAAGAGGCAGGGAATGTTTGCTGACCCTGTCACATTATCCCTGAGCTGGCACCACGGCCCAGAACTGAGCAGGGAACCAAGACAAGCCCCATGGCCCCAGCCAGGGTGTTGCTGGAATTGAATTTTTGGCTCTTGGAGGGCTGGAAAAACATTATAAAGAAACAAACTGAGTGTGTTTGCAAAAGTCTAAACAGGAGGAGTTTTCCAGAGTAGGGTTCAGGGTGCACCCAGATCCCTGTGGTGTCACTCATGGGTTAAGGCTCCAGGATTCCTGTTGCTGTGGTGTCTCCCAAAGTGTTCCCCATTATTGCTCCACTGTTTGATCCACTGTCCTGACAAATAGCTGCCATGGGAAAAAAAAGTCATCCTGGCTGAGCAGCCTTTCCTTTGTGCCCTGAATTTCTGTCTTGGGGTGAGGGATGCCCAGCTCTGCCAGGAAGAGGCTCAAGACCTCGTGGTTTTTGAAGGGTAAGAGCTGCAGTTTTGCTCTGCTACAAAAAATTAAACTGTACAGGGGAAAAGAGTGTTTGATTTTGTGTCTGAGGGGGGTTCAAACCCGAGATTAAAGTGAGATTAGCACAGCAGATTGAGGTGCTCTGAACTCTGTTTTAGGGGCTTGGGGACTGTGTTGGGACCCTGAGGAGCCAGGCTTTTTGCAGCAGGGTATTTCCAACGCAACCTCAGCTACGTATTTCCAGATTCTGTTGTATTCTAGAAATTATTTTGCTGTAAGGTGTGTCTGAGAGTGCAAACTGTATGGGGGAGGCTGGTGGCACTTGAGGGGCCTTGCCAGGTGTGACTTCTCCTGCTGAGAGCGGGCCAGGGCAGTGCCAGCTGTGACTCAGTGCCCACCCCCAGGGAGTCAGTCGGAGCACGTGGCTGGAGACAAAATCTCCTCTCTCCCACGGCTGCTTGGCAGTGCCTGGTTTTTGCTGTGCACATGGCTGTGTACAGACAGGGTGTCTTACCAGGGCAGGTTGGAGCTGTGTTTGGGGTTTAACCCCTCCGAAAGAGCACAGGTTGAGCCCCTGGCAGGAGTGTGGTGTGTCTGCAATGCTGCCTCCATCTCTCAGAGAATAAAATGTCTGCCACGTCCATCCCAGGAGCTCTTTGGGGACAGGATGTGTGTGGCTTGCAGAGGTGATGCTCGGCTCAGAGCTTGTCATCTGCAGAGGTTGTGGTGTAGGAAAAGACCATGTATGTCCTGTTCCTGGGCTCCTTCTGGTGGGGAGGCTGAAGTGCTGTGTCACCTGTGTGGGCAGCATAGCTGGGCAGCCTCCGGAGAGGACACTGGCAATGGTGTCACACCTCTGTGCAGCTGCTGGCCCAGGGTCTGCATCCCAGAGCCCTTCCCTTTGCAAATGGAGGGCAAAGCTGCCTTTACTGGGCTACAGGAACCCATCCTGTTCCCACACCTCACCTTGGTGCCAGGTACAACCCAGGCTCTGAGTGTGGATGTCTTGCCCAGCCTGGAGAGAGGGAACGTGGCTTGGTGGCACTGGGAGTGAGAAGGAAGGTCCTGGCCGTGGTCTGGGGGCTGTGGGGGTGGTGGGTACAGATTTTTGGTCACTGTCAGCACCAGCTGGACCAGTGAGGAGCATGCTGGGGCTTGGAGCAGCTGCAGGAATTGCCGCAGCCATGGAGCAGAGCTTGTCTGGCAGATCTCCCTGCGTGGCAGCGATTTGAGGCTGCTGCCACTGCTAAAATACTTCCAGCATCTGACACTCTCCATAACAAGATTCAAAGGGCTTGTTTGAGAGGGAAATGTTTAATCCAGGGATGGGGGAGGGACGTGGAGAGTAACAAACAACAGATTGGGAAAAGGATTCATAAATATCTCATCAGAGTGAAGTGGGTCACCAGTGTTCGCTGTGACTTGGTGCTGCTGTCTCTGAGGGTTGGATTTGGGAGGGCTGGGAAGCACAGCAGGCTCCTGTACAGTCTGTCCCTGGCTGTGCAGCACTGAGGCCGTTTAGAAGCGTCTGTGACAAGTGACTCTGCTGGCGTGGGGTTTGCGTCGCGTTGTGTCACGTTTGTCCCGCGTTGCGTCAGGAGCTGGGGGCTGAAATAGCCTGGAAGGGAGCTAAAAATCCTCCTTGGGGAGCTGCTCATGGCAGCTGAGAGAACACAAGCTCCTTATGTAAAGCTGCTTTAATATTTATGGTAATATCAGAGGCGGTGCATTACCTCATCCATCTTCACTGCACTTCTTGGGCATGGGGAATGGCTTAGTCACTACTCTGGCGACCTTCTCCTGGGTGCTTGCTTGGCATTTATTCCCCCAGCAGCTCAGAGAAAGGGAGAAATGCTGGTTTTCCCCATTGGGAATGGGGAGTTGAGGCACTGGGAATGCTGCTCAGTTGCAGAAGGGGATTGAGTACAAATCCTTCCAGCCCTGACAGATCACTCCACGTGTGACAGAGGGGACAGGCACAGACCCCTGAGGACACATCCCAAAGGACAGGGTGGTCCAAGCTGCATTCCTTAGGGGTTAGATGAGAAGGTGGAAGAGAGTGGGATGGTGAGAGTGCTGGGAAAGGAGCTCCCTCCACTGCGCCAGAGTCACCTTTGGTGCCAACTGCTGCTTCCTTAGGGGGAGCAAGGGTCTGTCTGTCCTGTGCACAAGGGGATGAGTGCCTTTCTTCCACACAGGCAGGAATGACAAAGAATGGAAGAGGAGATTAGGGGATGAGGGGAGTATTTGAAGACAAGGTGTTTCCTGCCATCTCCGGCTTTTTCTGCACAGCATTGCTCCAGGTCATATATGGTCAGTAGCTGTTTCCAGGATGGATGTTTCCAACTGGAAGACACCTGGAGTGTAGGGATGGACCTTTATTGCAGGATAAATCCTGATACATAACCCCACTGTGCTGTTAAATCCTTCCTTGCTGCCCGTCTCAGTGTGGCAGTCAAGAACCTGACAGAGGGAAAAACCCTGTGGATGAGCTTCCCACTGCACCCCAGACCCACACCCTGGAGCAACAAAGTGACTGACTTTCCCTTCCAAATGGAAGCAGCAGGGGAGGATGAGAGGATTTGGAGCTGGGATGGGGCTGGTCCCTGCAGGGGGAAGGGGCCGTGCTGATGGAGCTGTGCTGTGGCTCAGGTTTGGAGCTGGGATGGGGCTGGTCCCTGCAGGGGGAAGGGGCCGTGCTGATGGAGCTGTGCTGTGGCTCAGCTTCGCAATGACTCATCCGCTGCGCTCGGTTCAGGATTGATGCAGCTTTCATCTGTGCACGCAGGAGACAGATGAATAGATGTGTTTGGTGATTTGCTGGGATTTGAGGCAGCAGAAGTGCCCTTCAGGGAGCCAAGGGAAGCTGCTCCTCTGCTGGCCTGTTGCTCCAGTGGAGGGCAGCTTGTTGCGCTGGGTGAGTCCGACTGCACTGACCTTGAGAGCATCCCAGGGGAGCTGTGGCGTTTGTGTGCCGACCTTTGCAGCAGCAATTTGGAAGGTTTTCCTTTTCCTTTTTCTCCTTGATCATCCCTGGTTTTATTATGCCAGCTCCCTCTTCCCAGCCTGGGAGAGAGGTGGTTAGCTGCTGGCAATGAGAACCTTCCAGAAAGGGCACTGATTGTTAAACAGAAATAGCAAGGAGAAGGGAAAAGGGAGGGAATGAAGCCTGTCTCCCACAAAATCTTATTCCCAAGTGCTGCTGCCTGTGTAGGAGGCAGAGAGGGAGCTGGAAGGGGGAGGAAGGGTAGACAGCCAGAGACAGCAGCTGACAAGAGAAAAGGGAGGAATAAAAAGATGTGAGGAGCTATAAAGAAGAAAGCAAAGGTAGGAAAATGTGTCATTAGAGAAAAACTTGGTGTGATGGAATGAGGGAAGAAGAGGAGACAAAGGAATGGGGGAACCCTCATATGCAGGCTTAGTTTTTGGAAGTGAGGAAAGCACTTCTTTCTTCAGTCTGGGGGAGACAGAGGTGCTTAAAGATGAGCCCATGGTCATGCCCTTGGAAGTACAAGACGGAGAGGAGAGATGATTCCCAAGGTAGGGAGCTAAGAGCACACTGAAGAGGGTTAAGTACTAGGATGGAAGAGGATGTTCTGCTAAGGGTACCCAGGAGCCAGGCCAGAGGGTCTGGAGAGGTGCTGGGTGATCCTGTGGCTACTTGCAGTGATGGAAAACCACAGACAAAAGCCCTTTTATGTGGCCGCTTAGGAACAGCTGATATTGATTTTTGGCTTAGTTTGGTTTCTACATCTTTTAAAACCTTTTCTAAGCTGTGTGATGGGTTTGTGTTGCTTTTAGTGGAAATGCACTTAGAATCAGGAAATTCTGTTTGTGGAAATGCAGGGCATGGGGCAGGACAAAGCTCCTGGCTCCATGGCTCCAAGCAAAACCAGCTTTTGTGCCCCCAGGAATCTGGAGCAGTGAGGGGTGTGGATAAACTTTGAGGTGCCTGGGCTGTGCAGGGTCCCCATTTCTCAGCAAGAAGGTGGGTTTTCCCTCTCTGATTTACCTCATGATCTCCACAGGCTGCACACGATTTTCCTAGGGAAAGGGCAGAAGTTTAATGCTTGGTCCATGTGCTGTAGCCACACAAATATCAGAATGTGTGAGTGGCCCAGTTAACTGATATCAAAGTGACAAAGCAGGTAAATTAATATTTATGCCACGATTAATCCGACCCTCCCTGCTTTAACCTGTGAGCCACCTTCTCTTGTGAGCTCCACTTAATATTTTTTTGTGTCTCATTGTACCAGATTGAAAAAAAAACAAAAACAAAAAAGGATAAATTGGTCCCAAACCAGAGGAGCAGATTCCTGGGAGTGACTGTGTGCAGCCTCAGCTCTGGATTTATGTAGGACTTGTGCTGACAGAGCAGTATGGATGCTCTCTGGAAGCACAGGAAAAGGTGAGGCAGGTGATATCTACAGAAATATTACAGAATGGGCACTGAGAGGAAAATATTCTTGCACTTGGCCAGGCCCTTGTTTCCCTCCCACGCCTCAAGCCACAGCAGGGTCTGAAGCTGGGTGAGCATCTGGGGTGGTGTTTGTGTGGTACAGGACGCCCAAGTGTCTGATACACACTCAGCAAGCCGTGAGAGAGGCACAGTTTGGGCTTTCCAAAAGGAAAGTTCCTTTTCCAAAAGGGTTTAGTTTCCCAAACTAGGGAATGCAAGCACTGTCCAGCTGCAGTCAATGAGAAATATGGGATTTTATGGTCACCAAGCCTAGTGCAGCGTGAGGAGCTGGGCTGGAAGATCCTTGTGGGTCCCTTCCAACTTAGGATATTCTGTGAGAGTTGTGGAATTCCATGATTTTGGTGCTGCAGTTCCCTCAGTCTGCTCTAGCTGACTGGCACTGGAGCAGCTGGTGGCCACCAAGCAATGGCTGGCAAGGGAGAGCAGGAGTGGGAGGTGTTTCCATCTTATACTTAGGAGCCATTAGGTGTTGCTCAGCTTTGCTCTGGTCCAAAACCTGTCATTTCTGTGAGATTTCCTCCATTTCTGCCTAAATGGGGATGAAAGCCCCATGTTTATCAGCCTCTTTCCCAGAAGAGTCAGCAGCACAGATCATTGCTGCAGTCCTGGGACTTTGTTCCTGTCATTAGAGGAGTGATCTGCCCTCTGAGCCGCCGTGGAAGGAACCTTTGCTGGCTGAGGTTTTTGAGGAGCCTCTTCAGCCCTCGATGCAGACAATGAGCTCTGATTTCACTTAGCAGGCAGAAAGCTCCTGGCAGCCCTGAAGGTCAGCAGGGAGCCAGCAATGCCGGCAGCCCGGATCCCACGCTGCCTCCTGGTTACTCTTTATTTCCCGAGCTCGGAGCTGATGTGGTGCTGAACTGCCAGAGCCTGCTGGCAAAATGCCTGGTGCATTGTCCTCTCCTCCCATCACATGGAAGTGCAGCCTCAGGAGCTCCATCCTCAGCTCACCCTGCTCTGCCAGCTTTGTGGGGTGAGGTTGTTGTGGTAGTTTTTCATCCCCTCAAAGGCCACTTTGTCCCTTTGCTGAATTCCTGTGCTGTTCACCACTTCCCTGAGGAAGATAGCCCCAGCTGATCACCAGCATCCTGTTTGGCTCCATGGGCAAGTCCAGCAAACCCTGAAAGGAGATGACAGGAGTGAGAGGTCTCTGTCACCAAGAGATCCGTCTCTGCAGTAAATCCATGCAGTCAGTTCTCTGTTTTTCACCAGCTGAGGATCTGGCACTTTGTTTTGCTGTTGCTCCACCAAAAGGCTGGCAGAAATAATCCTTTTATCCCTGGTACCTGTGAGTATTGAGAAACTAATGCTGGTTTTCCTGCAGTACCCGTCTGGAGGGAGAGTATCACGCGAGATCACATTTTAACCCCTTCCTAAATGGACCTTGGAATAGTGCTGCAAAAGGAAGGGTGGAGGGTGAGACAGGCAGGGAGGATCTATCCATCTGTTTGCCCATGGAACAAAGTGTTCTCTCCTTACCCAGAAGGAACTGGAAGGGTGAGCAAAGGCAAGGTAAGGCTTATTTGGTTGGATGTGAGTTTGTCACCACTGACAAATGGCCTCACACGCACAGCCAGGATGGACTTGGACTACGGATGCCCAGATGTGGCAGCCATAGGTGACAGTCAGTCCAACTTGTTTGATGTTCCTGTTTGATATTATGAAAAAAATCCTTCCCTGTGGGGGTGCTGAGGCCCTGGCACACATTGACCAGAGAAGCTGTGGCTGCCCCATCCCTGGAAGTGCCCAAGGCCAGGCTGTGCAGGGCTTGGAGCCCTCTGATCCAGTGGAAGGTGTCCCTGCCTGTGGCATGATCAAGGTGAGTTTTAAGGTCCCTTCCAACCCAGGCTGCTCTCTGCTTCTGTGATTGTTACAGGCACAGAGCCTGTAGTAAATGCTTTGAATGGAGTTCACAGTTCTGAAAGAAGGAGCTGACAGTTTTCCAGTCTTCCTTTCTGTCCTCCTCTGTCACCTCCAGGCAGAGCAACACCGGCTTGCTCTGTCCTGTCACTCACCTCTCCTTGTTCTGCTTCCCGCTCCAGGTGCTGTACCATGTCCAGGTAGGACACTGCCAGCGTAACAAGCATCCCAAGACAACCTCTCCCAGGCCTTGAGCTCGGGTGGCTCCTCTGCTTCCTGCAGCAGCCGGGCGAGGGAGAAGAGCTGGGATAGCCCCACGTATCCATCGCTGCCCACAGCACCCCTAGGATGGATTCCAAAGGCAACGTCCGAAGCGGAAACAAACCCGACGCCAAGGCCGCCAGCTCCGGGAAGCCGGAAAAACCCAACCCCGGGCCTGCCACGAATGCAGACAAGAAGGAGGCTCCCAAAGAGCAGCCTGCTCCTGCCACGGCCGCCAAGAAGGCGGGAGGTGACGCCGCCATCGCCAACAACCACAGCAACCTGAAACCCAGCCCCGCCGCCACGGAGACGCAGGAGGCCAGCGGGCAGTCCCCTGACTCTGACCACAAGGGAAACAGCTCCGAGGAGTCCCCGGGCAGCTTCTTCGACAACATGAAGCCCTTGATCATCGTCGGAGGAGTGGCGGTGGCCGCGCTGGCTGTGATTGTGGGAGTGGCATTCCTAGCCCGGAAAAAATGAAGACGGAGACGGGGTGGGGATGAGAAACCCAGCCCAGCTGTACAGCTCCTTTTGAGACAAATGCATGCAGAGAAATTCTATACATAGCTATATATATAGAGAGAGCGAGCTAGATAGGTCAACAACAAACACCAACTGCAACTCCAGGGTCTTGTTCAAGACAACTGTGCCAGTCTGACCCGCTGTGGGTAACTCCATGCACTCAGTGTGTTCTTTCATGTAATATATCGTGGCTTATACCGCTGTGTATAGATTACAGCTTCTCCTGATCGGTGTAAATGACGGTGTCCCCTCCCCTCCCCTGCTGTCCTCCCTGGGAGACACCCCTCCTCCCCCACCCTGCAGTCCCGTTTTCAAGTCCAAAGTGTTCTACGTCCCATTCGGAGTCCCAGTTTGTGTTTTGGTTTCTGTTTGGTTCTGTTTTAACTTGGGCTGTGGTAAAGAAGATGGAAGGGGAGTGCTAAGGCCTGGCTTGCCTGTCACGCTGGGCTGGGGGTGTTTCTCCAGCCCCCTGGGACAAGGGAAGTGCAGGGGCAGTGGCAGGGAAGGGGCAGCTCCCTGACCCAACAGCCACAGGCGATCCCTAGTCGGTGTCTGTGTATCTGCCCCTCGTCATCCCACCTTGGAACCCCCGCCTGGGAAGTGCTCCGGAGGAACCAGGGCAGCTGCGGTGCGGCAGAGCCGAGTGTGAGCCTGGGATGTCACATCAGGTCACTCTTCTGGCTGAGCTGCCAGCGGGACAGTGACCAGAGGGCTGTGCTGTGGCCCAGAGAAGTCCCATTGCAGCCTTCAGGATCCCAGGGCTCGCCAGGGTCACGTGGGCAGCGTTTGGAATAGAGAGACTTTGTTTTGGATCTAGTATTTCCTAAAGTTAGGCTGGGCTTTGCAGGGTGCTGTGGGCTCAGACCAAGCTCCCTTGAGGTTGGCTGGACTATTGGTGTTCATTTCTTTGGGCTTTGGATAAGGCCTTTCACTGAAGTTTTCCCCACTGAAGTCTGTGGTCTCTCAGCACATGGGAAGACAGGAAAAAGGGGAGACATGAGCTGGTATTAGGGATCCCATGAGAGTAACACTGACCTACCTGCTTTTATACCAGGGAAATCCCTTTCAAGGGCACTGGAGTCTGTCCTGGGTGGATTTCTTACCTCCCTCTTGTGACAGTAGTAGCAGGGATTTGTAACTCCTCCACACTTTGGAAATGGAAACAAATTCCCAGCCCTCAGGAGCAGCCTGATTTAATGGGTGAGTACCTTGGCTCTAAAGCCAGACCTTGTGAGGGGGAGGAGAGAGGGTGTTTAGTGCTTTGGCCAATGCTCAGCACTAAACAGCAAGAGGTCAGGAGCTCTGCCTCTGAAAGCTTCCATTAGGCGTCTCTTGGCTGCTGCAAAACAGTGTTCTAAAGACCCCTTACATTTTGGGTTTGAGTTGGGTCAGAGATTAGGTGAGGTCCAGTGGGAGCTCGGCAGCAGCCACAGCCCATGGGCAGGGGCAGCAGTGATGAGTAGAAAGGGGTGAGTTCTGTGACAGAGCCCATTGTGCACATTTAACTGGGATGGATGGATGGATGGATGGATGGATGGATGGATGGATGGATGGATGAATTCAGGGGCTGCAGGGACAGAGGGAGGTGTGCATTCCTCAGGTGCTGCCTGTGCAGTGTCTGCCTCTGGCACAGTCCCTGGATGGGATGGTGTGGGGGTACCACCTGACCTGGCAATTCTGCTCTTGGCTCGTGTCTGTCTTATTTACCTCCAAACCTGACCTGCTGAATGCACATGGTCTTGGAATGCATGACTGCTCCTATGGTGAGCTCAGAAAATATTCCCAAAGGTGTATGGCCTCTGGGAATATCAGACACTGTGTCCTGGTGCAGCTGGAAGTTGATGCCTCCACCTTTGCCAGCACAGAGACAGGAGCAGGCGTGTTGGGCTCACAGGAGTTTTGGGAAGCAGGGCTACAGCTCCAGGTGAGATCCTGGCAGCCTAAAACACTCTTGGCATGAGCTGTGGATGTGTTCCCAGCAGCAGTGTGTCACTTACAGCCTGGGTAAGGGTTAGAAGCAGAAGGGTCCTCCTCTCCCCTCAGAAGCAGAACTTTGCAGGGAAATTTTCACAGGGAGTTTTGCTAATGTTGCTCAGAAGGAAGAGAAATCACCGCCTCCTGCTCTGGTTCATGTTTTGCCAAGTAGGGTAATGATTTTCAGACAGTGACTTCTGTTTCCAAGAGATGTTTCTACCTTTGCTGCCCCCTCCCTGCCTCTCAGCTCTGGCCTAGGATTGTTTTCAGCAGTGTGTGACGTTAGGTACAGCACCTATCTGTTCTGCCCTGAGCAGCATAGATAGATCAGAGGAGGAAAGTGAAGCACCTGCTCCACTCGAGTCTCCCCTTTTACTTTCTAAAGTATTTTTATTTCCTTGTCTTCACCTTTGGCAACAGAAGAGGGGAAAAACAGTTCTCAGCCAACGGCCTTAACCTTTTCTCCATCTCCAAACCCTGCCTGCCCTTAGAGCACTCAGATGCAAGGCCACCAATTTCATCCAGGAACACCACAGAGGTGGTGATGGGGCTGCAGCTCCTCATCGGGGCGCGTCGCTCATTGGAGCCCTCCCTGCTTGGCAAACCTGGTATGTTCTGTTTGTGAGGGGTTTTTGAACGTGGTCTGTCCTGTTCCCAAGGGATTTTCCACTTCCTGTAATCACTTCACAATCTGCTGTCGAGGTTCAGCACCTGGAACCCACCCCTTTGGCAGTTTGTTTTGGAAAACACCTGTCTGTGTCCGTGTGTGTGTGCGCCTTGGAGCACATCCAGTGTGTGTGTGTACAAACCTTTGTGTTGCATTGCTGCAGTCTGGGAGGGGGAGAGAATCCAAGCTGGAGATGCCCCTTCCTCCGTTCCCTGCGTTCACACCAAGTGTCCGTGATGTCTTTTCTGTGCCGTTCCCACCACGCCGTGCAGCTCCTGAATTCCTTTCCAGCCCTGGTTTCTCCTCAGTGCAAGGGATGTCTGGCTGGTGAAGTGCTGAGTGTGTGGTGTGCTCGGAGCCCCGAGCCCCTGCTCCCCCCACCCTGGGTAGTCCTGTGGGCTCTTTGCTTTAAAACGAGGCACTTTTAGACCACCCTGCACTGTGCTGTAGCGCTTTTCCAAGCGTGGCTCTAGTGCTGAGCCGGGCAGACGCAGCGTAGATGCCACAGCGTGCCGCAGCCCTGACTTGCAAACAGCTCCTGTCCTGCCTTACCGTGCCAGGCTGTGCAGTGCTTTCCTTCTGAGCCAAAAACGTCCAGCGAGCACTGGGCCGAGGGAGCAAACCCCCCTCTCTCAGCCCCAAATCTGTCCAAGCAGAAGGCTTTAAATAAATAGTTGTCTTTTCTCGTACTGAGCACACGCCGTTATTTGCTTGATGTCCTTCTTTGTGTGGTTTTTGTGGTATGAAGTCCTTCCAGTGACATCTCCATGGGGAGAGTGAATTAACACTTTAAACTAACCAGAGTCTGTGCTTGGGGTTTGAAGAGATCTAGATTGCTAGTTTACTCTTTTGATCAAGTCGATAAATTAAATATTGGCAAAACTGGTTTCGGACCTTTCAGCTTATCACCAAAACTCTTGGTTGAATCACTGCACCCGATCTCAATCTCTTTTTAGGGAATCATAAATTTTAGTTGAATATAAAGATGTCATTTTGCTGTCTTGGACAACTCAGTAGAAGGTTTTTGCTGCTTCTATTTTAAGAGAGATGAAATGGATTATGCTTCTGCTTCCTCTTCCTACTGATTTAATACCCTGCAGATAAGTCCTGTTATTCCTAACAGTGCTGCAGCAGGATGAAAACAAATCTGGCAGCCAGGGGATTGTGCGGCAGCATTTTTGGGAGGGTAAGAATGCATTTCTGTTTGCCTGGGGCTCACTGAAAGCACTCAACAGTCACTTGCCCTGAAGCATTTCTTAGGGGGATGATAAACTAACTCAACGTCCATTTGTGTCTCTGATGGACTAAACTTTGAAGGTTGAGCCACAGAATATTGAAAACAAGGAGAGTTTTTCCATTGGCTTCACCTTGCTCTGGCCTTTGAGTTCTTGTTGGCACCAGGGATATGATCACAGGTCCTCATAAAATCATCTCAATTACACATTTATTTTTCAATTGACACAAAGGTTCCTTAGACTGAGCGTAAGGGAAGTCTCTTCTCTGAGGCAGCCTTGCTTATGCTGGCATCAGGATTTGTGTATGAACAACAGCAGTGCAACCAAAAACCCCTGGAGCTGGTGAGAGATGATTTATGCCTTAAAATATTCCCTACTTTTCCTGGAAACGCTACTGGGGTTTAAAATTCAGTGGCCTTCTAACTATTCTTAAATTGGTTGAAAATAGCAGTGCTGAAGATTGGAGAGGAAAATGATTCTTTGAGAAGTAAACCAAAAAAGGAACAAAATGAAAAAATATGTTTGAAAGGTGAAATTCTTGGAATTTCAATCAGCTCCATGGAAAGCTTCAAGTCAGTGAAGATTCTGAGAGGGTGCAAGGAACAGAGCAGAGAATTGGAGGGAAAAGACACTATTTAATTATCTTAATAGCTTTGGTAAGGACATGCTAACTTTTATATCCTCTTCCCCCTTTTTTTTTCCCCTCAGAAAAAGGCAAAAATGACGAGCTCTGGTGCCATGCAAATGAACCTCTGCTAATTGCCTTTTCCAGATGAATTCCTGCTGGCTCTGAGCAATGTTAAAGGGTTAGAAAAATACCTGAAGTTTTCTATAACCAACTTTGCATGATTCAGGGGAATGGCCAGGACATCAGGAGGGGCTGTGTTCTCCTTTCACGTTATGACAAGGACCACAAATGCAGCCTGCTCGCGCTTCCATCCTCCTGGTCCGTTCTCCGTGCTGGAGCAGGAATGCTGATTCCCTTCCCAGGCCTTGCAGCATCACATCTCATTCATGAGCTGGCTGCAGTTCTGCTGCACAGGTTGGGCATTTCCCACCACAAAGAGGACTTGGCTTTGATCTGGAGCATAACAGTTCTGCATTCCAGTAAATTCTCACTGCAGGACACTGGAATTGGGAATATTTCTGCTGTTTACACTGGAGGTATTTGATCCTTTACCCTTTTGGGGAGAAGTCTGCTGATGCTGAGGATTTGTTGGCACATTTGGGGTCTTATGAGTGATAGTTGGCTGACAGCCCCAAAAAGCCTTGGAGCCTGTGCCCCCATCCAGCAACCCTCAAGGGGGGTTTAATCTACTGAATCAAGTGGGTTTATGATGACTTCTTCCTCTTCTTTTTGAGACCATCAGTCCAGCCCTATAACCTGCTTTCCTTTTAAATTCCCTAATTCCT